TATGTACCACATTTAATGGCCAAACATGAGGAAAAACCGCAATTTTTGAGCGCTTTCGGACACGGCCATCTTGGATTGGATGCCAAGCCTCATCAAAGAGACTAGTTTTGCTCGAGGGGGTTTCAGGCTGCTACCAGTGAGCACGGGCGATTGATTTGGTGAAGAAACGAGGAGAATTGAGCTTTTTTAAACAGAAATACAACAGCCTGTTGACGTCAATTTTTATTATGAATTAATACGATGACATTGTGATTCATTTTTATTGATGCAAAGCATTAATTTTGATATCATATATGTCTATATCATTATCTCGAGCTTCGAGTGCCCATCCTGTCGCACCATCTGACGATAAAGAATAAAGCACAATTATGACACTTTTCTCATAAAAAAAAGTATTGACTTTACATTCAACGACCAAGTATACCCCCAGTCTTCAGGAAGTGCGATGGGAAAACGATTTGCCCCGAGTTACGCAAATCTCTTCACGGCGGAGTTGGAAAGGGAAGTTTTACCACTATGTCCATTAAAGCCAGATTTCTATGGACGTTTTTTAGCTGACGTTTTCATAGTCTGGACGTACACACTGGACGAATTTTGGGTGTTTTTTTTTAACTTTCTGAAACTTATAATTGCATATTCTAAAAATAAAAATCTGAACGACATCTTAGTGCACAGTAAATTAGAATTAATAAGACCAGTCTCCACCCTAACCGTTAGTAAATAAAATCAACTAGACATATAAATCCCTAACCCTACACCGCGGTAATGTGGAACAAACACATTTTTATAAAATCCAATTCGTAGCAGTAAACACACTAATGTGACTCTCCCCCGAGAGCCTCGAATTTATTCTTTTTTCTTCAGAAACCAAAATACCAGAAGCACCATCCAAGGAAGACAATCAGCGTTACTAACACCAAAAAACAGTTAAATCACCTTTGTATATAAATCTAATGTTTTATAGGGGGGTTGGATGGCTGAATGGTTAGCGTACGCGCGCTGTATCAAAAAGTCTGTCATTGAGTCGACTGGCGTGGTTTCGAATCCCCGGTTGTACGTGACAAGGAGTAGGGTCGCCTGTCCAACCTCGTGGGTTTTCTCCGGGTCCTCCGGTTTCCTCCCACTGCTAAAGACCCCTACGCGCAAGCGAATTATTGAAATAAAATTAAACCATATGTTAGTCCCGAAATGACCTAGTTTGTGTTGAGTGGACGTTAAACCCCATTTCTCTCTCTCTCTCTCTCTAATGTTTTATATGTATTTTTAATAACACTAGGAAATATCACGAACTAAATTTTTATCATCCTAGGTCAGTGCTTATGTGGAGACTTAACCTCTCCCCCAAATTCTTAAACCTAACCCACATTTAATGACGTCATGTGTTAAAATGTGCAGGACCGTCTCCGATCTAGCGTTCTCCGCCTCTAAGACAGTTTGGGCCATAAAAAACGAATCAAAATAGGACCCGTACTTTGATCAGATTGTTATACTTACCCGCACAGATTTCCAACACTAGACTGGTTATCTGTTGGGCAAGTGCCGTGTAATCGGTGACAGATAATACTTGATTAGTTGATGAGACTATACCACTTAGTTCCACGGCATTAATATCGTCACCAACTCCGATGGCAAACATATTAATGTTCTGGTTTTTGGCATTTGTTGCTTGAGCCTGTGTTTCATTCGGATTTGAAGATACCCCATCTGATTATTTAAAACGAAAATGGCGTTAAAATTTTCTGATTTCTGCAAATATTCTACTAATAAAAAACAGAGAATTGATATGATTACCTCACTTGGTTACAGTAGAATGCTAATTTTAATTGAGTGATATTTTGGCCTTATGCTTCTAAAATAAGTAATAGTTAACATGCAAAAGTACGTTCTCCTTCCATACATAGCTGTGAACCGAACATGTCGAAAATTGAAAACTATCTATTACTATAAAGTTTCTTACCGGTGATAACTATGCCAACTTTAGAGCTTGGAGAAGCACTGAACATCTGTATCATTTTGGCGATACCCAAGTCGGTGTATGTTCCTGCACGTGTATGGGTAAGAGAACGAATTTCATTAGTTAGATAACTGGCATCGCCTGATAATGGAATGACTTTTTTTACTGCCGAACTGTAGACGACCACGCCGAATCGAACTGATGAACTCACCCCCAGAACTGTAACAAAGTTTTCCAAAGACTTCCTTACTGATTGAAACTCTATTGCATCGACACTGTCAGAGCCATCGACAACGGCTATAACGTCAAGTAATCGTTGGCATCCTGTAGGATTTGTTGACAGAAAGATGAACAACAAGATACGAGATGTATTATAATAATATTAGGTTAGTTTAAGAGTGCTGGAAACAAAATCAGAACAACACTTTATTGTAAAGCCAACATGTGGGGTGTGCGCGTAGATCGTTTGTAGATTGATGTTGTACTTAGTGTTTAGCGTCCGTTTCCACCGAGGCCGACACCGCAGGCAAGTTGTTTTATTTTCAGTTTTATTATCTTCAAGCACACCCAAGGTTCGTTTTCCTGTGGGAGGAGAACGGAGTACCCGGAGTGAACCCACGATGTTGAGAAGGCGTCCCTATCTCCTTACCACTTACGCTCAAACCACAAGCCTTAGATGACCTACCAGCTAGAGCTCAAAGCGCGACCGCGACAATCTAGAACAGGTCTCACGGGGGAGGGGGGAGGGTGCAACCTGTGCGCTGCCCTAGGGTCCATAAGAGTGTACGGGGCCATTGAATATCGAAGTTCAAAATTGAAATGGCAATTATATAGGCATGAATTATTTCATTGTTCCTTTGAAGCTAATAACAGTATGTACAAAGGCTTTCCCTTTATCACAATCTGCTAGTGAATCATCTAGTTTTGGAAAGGAGCTGGGCTCGGGAATAAAAACGGTCTAACCCCAGCACATTTTTGTTTCCGCTCAAGGGCCCTACTCTTGACCATTAGGCCATCCCAGCCACGCTTAACGTCCGCCTTTTTTTCAATGTGATATCGCAGACGACAAGAGGAATGCGCGAACAGCTACCATTTGAATATTAAATGAAATCATGAATTATATGGTCACACTGTATTTTTCTAAAACAAGGACAATACTTATTTGACGAGTTTCGTCCAAATTCAAAATAATACCAGTTACAGTGTATTTCAAGTGAACATACAGACTAAATGTTCATCGGGATGTTCGTCGTGGTTTGCCTTTGTCAGTGCTGCAACACAGATGACCTGACAATGACAGCTGTTTGGTCGTTCGGATTTAACGAAAAAATAACCATGTTTTTTATTAAGGAACAATCGAATTAAAACTGAAATATGGACGGCGTGATTTTTTTCTTCGACAAACTGTGTTTGTTTGAAATTAGTCTCGCTCCTCAGTCATATTAATATCAGTCCGTCTTGTATTTTGGTTAGAATATATCACCATTAGTTATTAACGGTAAGGTGGCAGTTCAATGAATTGTAGTATTTTTATTCACTTCTTGAAAATCTTCAAATTTGAGAAGTCTGATTATGACAGAATGACCATCACATAGCAACCATTTTTGTCAGACCAACACTGAAATGAAATTTACTTATTATCTTTCAAATACACTCACTAACTTTGTATTTTTGTGTTTCATGTGTGTGTTTCGATAAGCCAATGGTTAAATTTCCTTGTTGGTGATAATAATAATAATAAAATTTTAAGGTGTAGATTTTTTGGCAAAGAGATTCTATCTATTCACAGTGATTCTCGTATGGAATTTAGAGGACCGTTATACATGAGCTTGGTTGTGCGATAGCTCAGTGGTAGAGCGCTGGACCGGCAACTGCGAGGCGAATGGGTGCCGTCATGGGTTCGATTCCCGTATGGGTTAGGAAACGTTAGACCCACGGCCCGTGCTTTCTGTGGGGGGATCTGTAAAGAACCCTCACCTCCCGATAACCCTAACCCTAGCACGCGGTGCCTGTCAGTGTCGCTAAAAATAAACCATCATCTCGTTTATGAACGCGAAATTTCGTCATTTCACCATGGCCGGTGTTGTGAGTAATGTCTCCCTTGTGCAAAATTTTTATACATGTACTTATTCGACGCCAATTTTCGACCAATAAGAATCCAAGAAATTTCAATTTTGGGCGCTACAATAATGAGGGAATGGGGGAAATGGGGTTTAACGTCCACTCGACACAAACTAGGTCATTTCGGGACTAACGTATGGTTCAATTTTATTTCAATAATCCGCTTGCGTATAATGGTTTTTAGCAGTGAGAGGTAACCGGAGGACCCGGAGAAAAACCACGAGGTCGGAAAGCGACCCTACTCTTGTCACGTACAACCGGGGAATCGAAATCACGCCAGTTGACTCAATGACAGACCTTATGATACACCGCGCACGCGCTAACCATTCAGCCATACAACCCCCCCCCCCGCTACAATAGTGATTTGATTAAGTGTACAATACTATTTTAATTAAATAATGTTTTAATTACTTGAACAATAATACTAATTATAGGCTTTAATTAAGAACAACAACGTTTACCAATGTACAGTAATTTGTATAATAATATGTGCAATAACGTTTCCAAATTATGTGTACAGTTATATTTTAATTAAATGTACAATAAAACGCAATATGTTTTAGTTAAATATATTTTGAATTATACGTTCAATAAGAATATAAATAAATATACAATAATATTATTTTAATAAAGGAACAGCAACCGTCACTAATTCAATGTATACTAATATATATGCAATGTGCCCTAACTTTTATTAATTAATATTTTGAATTAATTGTATAATAATATTTTGATGTACAATAATATTTTGATGAATAATATTTTGATGTACAATAATATTTTGATGTACAATAATATTTTGAATTAAATGTACAATAATATTTGAATTAAATGTACAATTTTAATTAAATGTACAGTGATATTTTAATTAAATGTACAATAATATTTGAATTAAATGTACAGTAATATTTTAATTAAATGTACAATTTTAATTAAATGTACAGTAATATTTTAATTAAATGTACAATAACAATAATAAATTCACGATAACATTAATAACATGGGAAATACTGTAAATGTTTAAATGGCAAATGTATATTGCTTACTTATACACAATCTATATCAATTCATTTTAATAAGTATTAGTTGAATTATTTAAATAATACCCAGTTCCCAGTTAGTCATGATGCACACTGTAATACAATTATGTTAATCAATGTACAAAAATTGCCACGTAAAACAGTCTTGTTCCGGGTGCAGCTTATACACAATCTATAACAATCTATTTTAATAAGTATTAGTAGAATTATCCAAAAGGAACACGTGAATGTGGATCAAATTGGATAAGAATTTAGGCTCCTTGAAGAAATCTACTCTATAGGGTTCATCCGCATATGACACCATTGCTTCCAATCAGATTTGAAAAAAAAATATTACCTTTAGCTGAAAATCGACAGGGTGTTTCACCTCATGACCACGATGCTTCACACCAAGAATCCATCAAAAATTCTAGCTTCTATTGCGTTTACAAACCAAATGTAGACGGACGGGACGGACGAAAGTGGGTTTATAAAAATAATAATCAGGTCCCGTGTTCACTAAGCATTTTCAGACTTAATTTAAGAATTTACTCAACTTTCATTCACTGGTTATAAGAAATATCTTTGATCATTTAGAGACACAAAACTTTGCGCATAGTTTCTTATTGATGTATTTGATACATTAAAACAACAAAAGTTTTATAAATGGCTATATTTTAGTTAAAATACAGCGAACAGTTCTTAACTTAAGTCTGAGAATGCTTTGTGAACTCGGGGGGAGTATTCGTTTTGTGAATCATTGTACAATCGGGGTTAATAAAATACTTTAATGTTAATTTATGTACACATGTTTTAATTAATTCTCAATTAAAAGTACAGTAAGTACAGTTCAGCGTTTCACAAAAGTTGATTCTAAACTTAGGAAACAACGCAGTTGTCGCCCTTCGCAGTCTGGTCAGGTTTTTCACCAGCAACTATGGATGTAGGACGCGGTTTAATCGATGATTTGTCCTTTGAGTTAGAATCAGGTGACTGTGCGTTGGCTGGGAAAGACTTCGGTCGGGGTTTTTTGTTAGACTTCTTCGAATCCTCCTCCTGCCTTCTCAGTCGGGTATCCGGTATTTGTGACTCGGGAAAACCAATAGATTCTGACACGTGTTCTCTAGGTACAACTATCGGGTCATTATTTATCACGGTTTTTTTTCCTGGGTTCATGGCTGTTATCTCTGAAGGCTTGTCTGGTTCAACAGGAACTAATTCATTCGTAAGTTCAATCGCCTTGGATGATGAATGGATTACATCTGCCCCTAAAGCTCTGCTCCAGCCAACTTTCTCGGCCTGAAAAGTTATTTCATCGTTGGGACTCTGGCGCCCTTTGGTCTCTGCTATTCCCCTTATCTCATTAGTCGTATTTGTAAAGAGTTCCGCACCAGTAGCTTCATGCCAGGAATCTTCGTTATCTGATTTACCTTCAACATGGCGGATATCTATAAATAGAACATATATTATCTTTCTTTTTAAGAATTTGGAGACTGGCGTAAAAGGAGTTACCTGCCATCGCCAGACACAGATGTATTTACATATATATGGTGGCTCAGTGAGTAAGACGTTGACTCGCTAACCTGGAGGTCCGGTGTTCAACCCCTGCGTTGCAGAGAAAGCTTATCGAGATTTTCCGGCGTGCTTCCTCCTTGTCACTGGTGCATGATCGGGGGCCTGGCAAAAGACAGTATATTGTCATTCGGATGGGACCCACAACTTAGGTCCCGTAAAAGATCCCTTCGCAGTTGAAATTCGATATAAGAGTAGGCCGTAGCTTCCGCTGTCCGGGTAAAATTTCCCTCATAGCACTGTATAGCCTATGTCCGTCTTCATTTTCCCAGTCGGAGCAGAACAGTAGGAAGCTATACCTCTATCGCGTTCATGTTTTCGGAAAAGGGGGACAACTACAGCAAGGAAGGTCACATAATGAGAAACATAGATGGGGTTCGTCATCTCATGATTCATCTTGTTTCACGCCAAATAATTTGTTAAACACTGCGGTCTCTATAGCGTTCACAAAGCTCACAGAAATCTCGTTGGGTGTATCAAGATGCGTTCTGAACTGTTCGTCAAAAGTTGAGCACAAAACAATATACCGTCTTCCACCTACCGATCTTTTCGCTGAAATGCAATATGGCTAGGAAAGCAAGCTTTTGACACAACTGCAATAGGTTAATTGCAACGTACTTGAATATGTCATGTCGTTTTCCTCTTCTGTATTTTGATGGGAATTTAAACTTGCTCGGATAGCGCGAATTTCAAATGTTGGGGGTTCTTTTACGTGCACGCCAAAAAGTACACGCGGTGATTTCGTTTTTTGGTCCATCCGAAGTGACAAGGAGTCGCCAGGCTGGAAAGCCCCAAGAATCTTTCTCTGTCAACAATGTTCCCACCGTTAATATACGTCATGGATGGTAATGACACATTACCATATACAGACGAGCTACGCAGGTTACGGCAACTGATCAAGTCCTAACCCTGGTATAAGGGTTAATGGCACATGATCATAAGCTACAGGAATGCATAGTGGTTTTTGTCGATGTCCGTGTTCTAATTCCGAGTTATTTGGATTTATTGACAACAAATTCTGGGTTATTCGGGTTTATTAAAAAAAAACTCATCCCGAGTTATTCGGGTTTACTGACACCGTATCCTGAGTTATTCAGATTTATTGCCAACGTATCCAGAGTTATCCAGATTTACTGACAACATATCCTGAGTTATTTGGGTTTACTGACAACGTATCCCGAGTTATTCAGATTTACTGGATTATTCAGGTTTACTAACAACAGATCATGTCCTAGCAGACAGACCAACAAAAAAGACTATTAAAATGAAGATTGATTCAAGTTTGTTTTATAATAAATACATATTATACAATATACAGAATGTCATCACTAAAACTAGTATAAAAACCAACACAATACAGCAATTATTATTATTATTATTATACAATGTTTGATGTGTATTATTACAATGTAAGAATTTAAATAATATACTATCTTGTTACATAGCTATAATTTATAAGTGACAACGTAATTACAATGCTGAAATAAAAATATTATTTGTAGCTATAATTCAACTCTGCTATTGCAATCTCTTGCTCCTATTCTGTTTGTTGTAACAAATGTAACTTTAATGATGCTACGTCTATTATTGTTTCTATGGCCACACCTAAATGGTTATAGCTAAGGTAACAAGATAGCTAACGTATGAACAGATACAATGGAATATTGTAAATATGTTAAATGCTTTACTTAAGGTTTATTAATAATTAGATCTTAAAACATGTAATTTACTAAATGGGTACAACTTTATGATATTGATGAAAGTTTTGAATATGATCTGATAGTGGTGGATAAATACATGCAGTGCTCTGGGTTAGGTTCTTTTGAGTCATATCCCATGCTCTTATTCTTGTATATCTAAATTTTCGAGCTTCTAGATTTATTTTGTCTTAGTAGAAATTAATATATTTTAAATATTTGACATTCACTAACAATATCGTGCGTCTTTATTTTAATCTTCTTGATACTGTAATCCGATTTTTAATATGCCGATAAATTACAATTTTTTCACAAAGTAAAGTGATGCAAGATCTGTCCATTTAGTTCAATGCGTGAGTATAATATATGTTTACTTAAATATCCTTACTTGAGCAATGAACAAATAGCATTCAATCATATTTATCGGAAAACCATTAATCTATAAATTAATCATATATTATGCAATGAAGCGAATTCCATACCACTCGGTAAGCCTCCAAATTCAAACATAATTCCTGTTTATCTGTGATATTTATTCTTTTCCAAATAAACCAATGACTATTAGCTCAGCTTTGTTCAAAGTTATTTACGCATCTAAAATGCAGACAAATAATTTTTTTTTTCAGGGGTTCAGGGGTATATATATAGGTCATTTCGGGACTAACATATGGTTTAATTTTACTTCATTAATTCGCTTACGCGTAGGGATCTTTAGCAGTGGGAGGAAACCGGAGAAAATCCACGAGGTATACCAGAGGAATTTAAAACTGAACTTGGTAAAGAATAGATATCATCATAAAACAAGTCCGAAACCAGCCACTACACACAGAGTAGTATAGACAATATCACAAAAAAATAAATAAATAAATGTTTATATTATTATATTCCTATAAGCCACCAATAATAGCTTCATATATAAGGCAATAATGTTCCTAGCAATTCAAAGGCCTCCCTTCCCACTTTAAATACAACGTATATAAAATTACATATTTATCTTTTACTTAAGCCAGACATCAAGAGACAGATCAATCTAATCAGAATCCCGCATCAATTTCGTGTTATTTATATTGTAATGGTTTTTTTTAAATATCACAATTTCAATATAAATCTGTGTTCATATCATGGGCTTGTACTAATCAAATTGTCTGTACCAGTATATAGGACCGCATATTGTGGTGTATTTTTGGGAAGAGTATATATGGGAATAGTTCTGAGGTGTTTAAGGGTTATAAACAATTGGAATGCCACTGTTTGATATAAACGGACCTGTGATGATAAAGAGTAGGTCAGAATGAAATATAGAGTAAAATAAAGGCACAACAAAAAATTAAACGAAATGAAAATCTAATCTGATTTTTATTACATTGACTGCTGATCAGTAAGTAATTGCTATCTATTGCTACAGTTATAGCGTCAATATTTATTTGAATACGATTGATCATATCTTGATGTCCGAGTGGGCATATTCCAAGTCGAACGTTGGCAAACTTGAGTAGGACATGTCCGGCATATACGGCGAAACGACATCCCTTCACTGTAAACCCAAATGATTCAACCAAGTGCTATGAACCTTGTTTATACAAAACCTAGTGTGAATGTAAATTTAAGTACCATATAAAAAAAGATATTATAAGTTAATAAAAATATCTCTCATTTCTGGAAGCCCCTATATATTACGGAATAACATATTTGATTATCATTTGGTCTGGACGAAAATGATTGAAAACAATAAAAGGACAGTTCTTTCGAAATTAGTAACTTTTTCTCAACACAAAAAGAGCCAGTAGTAGTAGTCTATTTCAAAGAAATAGCTTCTCAATGGGTTTCATGCAGAGCTGGTTCCCAATTGTGTTACTTTGTTTAATCCAAATTAACCGTTAATTCTTCTCTTATAAACCAATTTCATAGGACTTTTACATGGATAACCTATGAATTTAATCTATTTATGGTGTTTGGGGTTCCAGTTTTAAATTGTTTACTTCAAAATGCTGATTATAGTTTAATATGAATCGAGAATATGAATGATCTACACTAATTTATGGCTTTATTTAAAACTAACTGCACACTTCCCCAATTTTTCATCCTATTCATTACAATTTACAGTTATTGCTACAAAATCCCATGTGGCTTATCAATGATCAGGGACTCACAGCCTACTCTTATATCGAATTCTAACTCCCAAGGAATCTTTTGCATACACAGGACCTCGGTTTTTCGTCCCATTCAAACGGTTATACACTGTCCCTTGCCAGGGCCTAGGTCCTGCACCACTGACAAGGAGGAACGACGCCGGAAAATCCTGATGAACTTTCTCGATCAATGCAGGGTTCGAACAAGGTACCTCCAGGTTAGCGAGCCAACGTCTTACGCATTGAGCCACTGTGGCTCCCTTATTTTTTAAGATAGATAAAAATAACTCAATATGCAATGGAATGGGGTTTAATGTCTTGTTAACACAATAATTTGGTCTTTTTGAAACAAACGCACGCTAATGTTTTATCCTTTGGTTACGTGTAAAACACGAGGAAGGAGAATTTTGCCCCGACAGCATCATTTCCGCCTACTCTTGTTCAATTTCCACCCATAAAGGTTCTTTTACGTGCAGACCAACGTATACATGAATAGATTTTTGTTTTTCTTGTTCCTTCTAAACCTCTTGGTACACTTCCCCAGTTAGCCCCATAGGCGCTACCCCAAACAAGTAAAAACAGGACTTGAAACATCCAGACGGTTCTTTTTTGCTCGTAATGGGAGGGAATATATATTACCCGTGACATTATAAGGAAGAGTTGAGTCCCCCGACTGCTCTTATACTGTGGTACCAACTCAATACATACATGTCATGAATGTTCGAAAAATTGGGGGGTGTGAGCCAGACACAAGAGTTGTGGCGGTACTGGTAAATATTTACAATTAAAAAGATATATTACACTAATTTTCCACACTACATATGACATATACACTAATTACAATTAAGCTTATTTGGCCTTTCAATAACAAAACAATTATGCAGACTGATGACTAAAAATATTTGCATAAATTTGCATATCAATGAATATGCAAGAAATTAATGTTATGATAATGAAAATGTATATATATACATGTATACAATATTTAAATAGCACTGTTAAAGATGTAAAGCTTATTTACTTAAAATATTAAATATTATTTTTATGACATCAGTATTCTAAAGAACTATTCTTAATAACATCTGAAGACAACTTTTAAGCAGCAATATAATTTTAACGGACATAAAAAATTTTGCCCAGAAGCAAGGGAAGTTGATGAGGTCTTTTTTGGTATTTGATGTTATTATATGCACTGTAGACTCAGTACCACTTGTGTAAGGGGTCACATTGAATGGTATTGTATGCACTGTAGACTCAGTACCACTGGTGTATAGCGTTCACATTGAATGGTATTGTATGCGTTGTGGGGTAGGTACCATTAAATACTTTTCCCCTTGTGTATAGTTCTTAAATAAAATGCTCATTTTGCTATTCAAATAATTGAAGTCATTAGTTGAATGGCTTTCTAACATTCGATTGTTACAACTGCTGGGTCATTTTGATGCATTTTTTATTTCTAGAATTGGTGAATCTATTAAATGTTTTAAGAATAGTTCTGAAATGTTACTTATTCCACCAAAAAAATAATAAATATATATAATTATATACGAGAGGATGTACAAGTTGAACTTCACTGTTTAGCATATTAAATATATTTACAGGTATTACAGATATACCTTTGTTTTAATATCTACCGTTACTACAATATATCTACATTTACCTACATCTTCCCAACAGGTAAAACAGCCAACAATAGAATACAAGACACAGAGAGAGCGAGAGAGAAATGGGGTTTAACGTCCACTCAACACAAACTAAGTCATTTCGGGACTAACACATGGTTCAATTTTATTTCAATAATTCGCTTGTGCATAGGGATCTTTAGCAGTTGGAGGACATTTGAGGACCCGTAGAAAACCCACGAGGTTGGACAGGCGACTTTATTCCAATTTTAACAATACAGTTAGGATATCAACATTTTTAAAAGTGATTTTTTGGTGGAAGTTTTACGACCTTACAGTTCTGATATTTGGCATAGAGAAGACCCCCGCAATGTGATTAGTGATCCTATGCACAAAAAGCTATTTGGTTCATAAGTGGCACTTACAACCTTTCAGACCGATAATGGCATCAATATGTTTCCTCATTTCTAAACAAATATTACTCAGACCAAACCAATTTATCTTCAGTGTTTAATATATAAATTGCCATTCAAGTAGAACTTAAAAGCTTTTGGGAGAAATCAAGTTAACTTAGTTTATTTCCCCTAACATAAGGTGTTCCTTCAAATTGAAATCAGTGAGGCAGTAGTTATGGGAATGGCTGTTGCTCTGGAACATTTTCCAGGTAAAGTGCACATGCTATTACACTAGTTTGTCATCTTTGGGATACTTTAATACAAAACAGTTGAAGTTTGTGACCTATTATAGCTTTTGACCATATAATCAATCATTCATCAAGCAACTTTAGAAGTCTTTGGATTCTATTTCATTGGCTGTTTCCTGGTTAAATACGCAGAATAAATAACTTGAGCATTTAATTACGGTAAAATACATAAATATAATATCATCTAAGTCTATGTAATATAATATCATCTAATTCTATTATCTGAAGATTTTCTAAATATGTTTACAGTGGTGCAACAAGTTAATTTCTGGTACTGGTACATATTTTACTTACGGAAGAGAGAAATGGGGTTTAACGTCCACTCAACAAACTAGATAATTGTGAGAGAAATGGGGTTTAACATCCACTCAACAAACTAGATAATTGTGAGAGAAATGGGGTTTAACATTCACTCAACAAACTAGATAATTGTGAGAGAAATGGGGTTTAACATCCACTCAACAAACTAGATAATTGAGAGAGAAATGGGGTTTAACATCCACTCAACAAACTAGATAATTGTGAGAGAAATGGGGTTTAACGTCCACTCAACTAGATAATTGAGAGAGAAATGGGGTTTAACATCCACTCAACTAGATAATTGTGAGAGAAATGGGGTTTAACGTCCACTCAACTAGATAATTGAGAGAGAAATGGGGTTTATTGTTTTCCAAACACAAACTAAATACTTGAAATAGAAATGGGGTTTAAAATCTGCTTAACATAAACTAGGTAATTTCTGGACAAATCAATGGGATGTCTTTATTGCAATAATTTGTTAGCAAACAGGGATATTTAGCAGTTTAGTTTATTTTGGTTGTACTAAAATGATGCAAAACAGTAAAATGTGAAAACATCTATATGCATTTCAAGAGAGTCGATTTATGCCCCGAGCAAAAACATTTTTGCACTTATATCTTCTTCATATATCAACAAGCAAGTTACATGCATAAAGACCGTATTGTGTCCCATCCAAATGACAAAGCCCATCCTGGAAGAACAGAAATTATCGGACAAAAAACAGGACAATTTAATAATAGTTTACCTATCACTAAGATTTTTGTTGCACCACTGTATTATTATACAACTAAGACCACAAAAAAAACCCTTAGAATTATTTCTTATCTCTAACTAATTCATAGTAAATTAATTACAATAAAATAAAATGAAATCAAATCACTTTATATTTTCTTTTCTTACTATATATTAAAATTTTATATCCCCTGAGATTAGTGACTAAAGAAACATTAGATTCTATAACTCAATATTGATTTGTTTCCATGGCTTCCAGGAAATATTTTTTTTTTTTTTTTTTTCAGCAATCTTGCATCGTTAAGACAGAAATTGGATCTGTTTCTCATATGGAAACAGTTCCATAATGAATTTTAAAATGTTAGCTGGAAGTTCGTAATTCTTTAAGCACCAATGTTGATATTTTTGATGGTGGTTGAAAGTTGAATGATTCAAGTTGATTTTTCACCCAACACAGCAAACTTTAAAATTTTCTTAAGTCACATATGAAGAAATTGTCATGAAGTTAATCAAAAAAATACCAACACAGATGAAATGACCAATCACAATGCTTGATACATCACAGTCATAGCATCATGCATTTAACAGGAAATGACATAAAACACAGGGAATGATTAGCAACCAATTAAAACAATGGAGGCAGCCATATTGAAATCTTCATCAGAACATTTGATCGTCGTCACATTCTGCCGTTGTGTGACCGAAAACTGAAAGAAAAGAAACAGGCAATGATTGGTTGGTTAAAAGCTTAACGCAAATTTAAACGACAGGCAACATTATCAGTTAATACATAAATTACACTGTAACCCGGGTATCATTTAAACATACATTATGCAAGAGCTAAATCTATCTATTGCAGGTCTTTCTTTAGGCCTGAAATGTTATCTAAATTATTAATTAGACATTAATTAACCTATCGAGACCATAATCAACTCTCGATGGCATCGCTAGCCTCCGATTTTTAGTGGATTGTGAGCCGATTTACTGCATAACTTTCCTTAACGATTTAGCGATTAAATGGATAATCAAGACTATGCTGTTTATCGTACTGACTTTAGTAATGATGATCAAGGCTATGCGGAAATTCAATCGCTTTGTTCTCGGTTCATAGTGGATCAATTTGAATGAAATTTTCAGCAAATTGCCTTTACATTATCTAGTTTTTAACTATTATAGTGAGAACTGCCAACTCATTATCGAATCTCCCATAATGTATCTTTAATCTTGTGTATTTAGCACTAATTTCTTTAACATTCATTCAATATCAAATCCTTGTTTAAAAATTCGTAAAAATCATTTAAAATCACCAAAATTCATCTAATTTGTACTTGTGTCTAGTTTAAAGCTGACCATTCAATTTTGATGATGAGTGTCCAATTTACAGGCGTTTAACTTCTCGATCACGGTTAAAAAATAAACAACACAATTGATTATTGATGTGTAATGATTAATTTTCGAACAGTGGTCAGGAAATTAAATTAATCAGTTAGCTTTAAACTGGACACAAGTACAAATTAGATGATTTGGGGTGACTTTAAATGATTTTTACGAATTTTTAAACAAAGATTTAATATTAAATGAATGTGAAAGAAATTAGTGGCAAATATACAAGATTAAATAATACCTGGGTTACAGTGTTAGGTTACATGAAAATGATTTTTGTTACACAAATAATGAACAACGTTAGAAATGTCATCAATATGTGTCAAAATCTTTCCAAATTCCCAAATCTTTTTAAAAATTTTTTTAGCAGAGTTAGAATAAAACTGATCAAGATGAATATCATTTTGTGACCAACCCTGTAGTATTTTTCTGTGATGATTTCATCTACTATTGATGTAATTTTATATCAATTGATGTTTTGATTTAATAGTGGCATACTGCTTTACAGGGGGACCTTTCATATGCACTATCGATTTGAAATCAATTAGAATTCATAGGATTTGTGCCCTGATCATTTGACTACAACAGCCCCCCTCACCACCCAAGTCTTACCAGAGTAATATGGATAAAGAAAATAAGATTATACTAGTTCTGACTATGGTTATTACAACATCTCAATCATGGATTTGTGCCCTGATCATTTGACTACCACAGCCCCCCCCCCCACCTCTTACGTGAGTAATATGGATAATATCGATAAAGACCAGCAGACTATACGAGTTCCGACTATAGTTATTACTACATCTCAATCATGGGACTAGGTTAAGAATTCAATGGTTTTTTGTTTGTACATTTTCTTATAATTTTAAGACATCAGAAAGATTTTAATTGAAGAAATGACATAAACCAAATCAAAATGCACAAAATGCATCAAATGCACTAATTTTAGTAGTGGATGTAAAAGGTCTCAATAAAAAAAAAAACAACTAAAATATCAAATTAATGGTGGTTTATTATGTTATGATGGACGTGAACAAATAGTTGGTTGTTTAATTTGTCTCATAGATTCTGAAAAGAAAGACGACATCACAAGTTGCCATAGTCCTCCATTCCACATACGAGAGATGTCCATGATATCTGGTGTTGCTAAAAATTGATCGTAAAGACTTACCTTCACAGGTTTCACAGTAAGGTCGTTTAAGATCCCTATCACCATGGTGACGAGATGGTTCGGGACTTTCAGACATGGCCTGCGTCGGACAATCGTCAGTATCGTGTCGATCAAAAACATCACAAATATCACAGAATAATCGAGGTGCAGATTTCTGTCCAGATGGGCTGGAATTGAAATAGATATTATATCGTATACTGATAATAGGGCCTACTGATATTGACAGGCATGGACCATATAGCGGAGTAATGTATAATTAACAAACATGGAATGCAATGACAATATATTGATCATTTTTAGACTAACATAGTAATTTTCATTTATACGGTTACACATGGAATAAGATTGGGACAATTGTGCCTGGATATAGCTCCCTTTCTGCCAACTCCTCTTTGAATTCCAACTGCAAAGGGTTCTTTTATATGCACACAAAATGTGTACAGATGGATCTCAGAAGGATCTGGAAGATTTATAAATAAATCGCAGGAAGCATCTGGAAGGAATTCTATATAAATCCTGCTTTCTTTGAAAGGAGATTAGCCTATAAAATGGTTTGTTTACGCGAGGAGTGCACTGAAGTATAGGAGACATCTAGAGAAATGAATTGAAATGAAATGGGGTTTAACGTCCTACTGTTCTGCTCATAACCTGGGCTAATGAAGACGATCATACGCCATACAGTGTGCTATGAGGGAAATTTTGCCCGGGCAGCGGCGCTACGGGCTACTCTTATATCGAATTCAAACTGACAAGAAATCTTTTCCGTGCACGCCAATGTGTACATGGGACCTCGGTTTTCTGACCCATCCGAACGACTAGACAGCTGTCCTTGTCAGGCTCTCTGTCCCGCATCACTGACAAGGGGAAACCACGCCGGAAAATCGGGATGAACTTTCTCGGCCAATGCAGGGATCGAACACCGGCCTCCAGGCTAGCGAGCCAGCGTCCTACCAGTGTGATCCTCAGACATTTTTAAAGCAGTGGAGAACATATAAATGGTTTAGGGAGAAAGATAAATGGGATTTAACGTCCACTGGACACAAACTAGGTCATTTCGGGACTAACATATGGTTTTAATTTTATTTCAATAATTCGATACGCGTAGGGGTCATTAGCAGTGGGAGGAAACCGGAGGACCCGGAGAAAACCCACGAGGTTGGCAGGCGACCCTACTCCTTGTCACGTACAACCGGGGAATCGAAACCACGCCAGTCGACTCAATGACATGCCTTATGATACAGCACGCACGTGCTAACCATTCGGCCATCCACCCCCCAGAAATGGTTTAGGTCATAAGCTGTCAAACTTTACGCCTTTAGACCCCTGACATGACCTCTCTTGCACACCGGTCAGATATATATGAAATGAAAATGAAATGAAATGGGGTTTAACGTCCCACTGTTTTGCTCCGAACTGGGCTAATGAAGACGGGCATACGCCATACAGTGTGCTATGAGGGAAATTTTGCCCGGACAGCGGCCTACTCTTATATCGAATTCCAACTGTCAAGGGATCTTTTACGTGCACGCCAATGTGTACACGGGACCTCGGTTTTTTGTCTCATCCGAATGACTAGACAGCTGTCCTTGTCAGGCCCTCCGTCCTGCATCCCTGACGAGGGGGAACCACGCCGGAAAATCGGGATGAACTTTCTCGGCCAATGCAGGGATCGAACACCGACCTCCAGGCTAGCGAGCCAGCGTTCTACCAGTGTGATCCTCAGACATTTATAAAGCAGTGGAGAACATATAAATGGTTTAGGGAGAAAGATAAATGGGATTTAACGTCCACTCGACACAAACTAGGTCATTTCGGGACTAACATATGGTTTTAATTTTATTTCAATAATTCGCTTGCGCGTAGGGGTCTTTAGCAGTGGGAGGAAACCGGAGGACCCGGAGAAAACCCACGAGGTTGGACAGGCGACCCTACTCCTTGTCACGTACAACCGGGGAATCGAAACCATGCCAGTCGACTCAATGACAGGCCTTATGATACAGCACACACGTGCTAACCATTCGGCCATCCACCCCCCAGAAATGGTTTAGGTCATTAGCTGTCAAACTTTACGCCTTTAGACCCCTGACATGACCTCTCTTGCACACCGGTCAGATATATATGAAGTTAAGTAGGGGATATTCAAAGCACAGAAAGACGAAACAAATTTTAGATTAATAATTTAATCAGATTGCCATCAAAATGTTGTGTCTTGTCCGTATATTTGTTTTTGTGTAAATTATGTGTGGTGCAGTCCCCCTACACTTACTATTTCAATAAAGTTATATTCTAACAATGTAAATTACTTACGAAGAATCGTCTGGTGCGAGATCTGAGTGACCATTATTATATGATCCAGATTCCATAGCTTCGAGACGAACCTGCAACTCATGTAGTTTACCCTGTTGATTTACTATCAAATTATTCAGGAAACTTATCTACAAAGACGGTTAGAATTAATAAAAAATATCCAAAAATTAATAAAAATATCCAAAAATAAAAATATCCAAAAATTAATAAAAATATCCAAGAATTAATAAAAATATCCAAGAATTAATAAAAATATCCACAGCAGCTAAATCGTCCGGGCAGTCAACAAGAGTTGTCGCATATTTTTACTTTATTCGGTAATCAAACATTTATAATACATTAAAATCTGATTAAGAGTAACAACTCATTAAGTAATTATCAAAAAACCATTAGAATTTGTTTGGTTTTTATAAAGTTCTGCCCCATGCTAACGTTTATTATACAAAACATTTAACATCATGGATTTAGCTTAGCTGTTCAAGTTATCAAAATTCATTGAAAATCAATATACTTGTTCATCCCAAGACCATAAACTGTGTGTATCAATCCAAGTCAATCCAAGATCTTCCAAAGTGATCAAGGGCAATAACTTTGGTTATCGGAAATCACTGAAAATCAATACGATTCTTTGACTTATGACCTCAAACACTGTGTATAAATTTAAAGTTAATCGGATATTAACTTTAGCCTCTAGAGCGTCAACAAGCAATTGTGGACGCCGTATAAAAATGAATCTATATAAAAATATCAACTAACAACCCCCCCCCCCCCCCAAAAAAACTTAACACAGACATTAAAACATGCAACAAAAGAATGGCTGACAACGTCAGTGAAAAGTGACTTCATTTCAAAAGTAGAATAGTAGTTCATTATAATAACCAACATGGCAGTGCTTTTATGCTGCCATCAATTGAACGAAATTTCAGTTTTTGTGAATAAAATCCTAATGTTCATGGTAGTGTATGCGGTGGGCATCTGTCCAAGTAACTAAACCAAGAAAATAGAGAGAGAGAGAGAAATGGGGTTAAAAATCCACTGACAAAAACTAGGTCATTTTTGGACAATCATATGGTTTAATTTTATTTCAATAATTCGCTTGTGTGTAGGGTCTTTAGCAGTGGGAGGAAACCGGGAGGACCCGGAGAAAACCCACGAGGTTGGACAGGCGACCCTACTTCTTGTCACATACAACCGGGGAATCGAAACCACACCAGTTGACTCAATGATATAGCGCGCACATGCTAACCATTTGGCCACCCAACCCCCCACCAAGAAAATAACACAACACTTACTTGTTGTTTAGCTGATTCATTTTCTTCTAATAATTTGACTTTAGCTGGATCAACTTCACCTAAAATCATAAAACCTTCATTTTAAATCCTTATTATAACTGCACCTATTTTTTGTAGTAATCATAAATATTTTATTCAGAATACAAATAAGTCATGTAACATAATAAATGTTTGAAGTTGAAGACTATTAAATGGAATGGAAGTTTATCATCCCAATTTCTCGGACTTCTAGTGACCTATAACCTCAATAATGTCTGACACCCAAAATTCTGAAATGACATCCCTGGACATAACTACCGAAATTCGATAGGAGAGAGAGAGAGAAATAGGGTTCAACGTGCTTTTGACACAAACAGGTCATTTCAGGACTAACATAAGGTTCAATTGTGTTTCAATAATTTGCTTGGGAGGAAACCGGAGGACCCAGAGAAAACCCACGAGATTGGACAGGCGACCCTACTCCTTGTCACATACAACTGGGGAATCAAAACCACGCTAGCTGACTCAATGACAAGACCTTAGGATACAGCGTGCACATTTTAACCATTCGGCCATCCAAACCCCCCAAAATTTGATAGGCCTCTTAGTATAAATTGTTTAGAATCACTAATCATTAAAGGGACAATAACAATCTTGCTGGCTTGACAGATTCAAAAAATAAAAAATAGCCTGATTCTAAGTACTAGATGTGTTAGTGTCCTACCTGTTGTGTAAATTATCCATTAAATCCTATTTTACTTGTCCAGAGGGTTCAATAATATTTTTAAATCCAAGTCACATTTGAAAAGCTTTACATCAGGCTTTTCAAATCATTTAGTTGAATTTTTCCAATTTTTTAAATTAGGTGTGTTAAGATGAAATTTGTATCATCAATTAATTGAAATATTGTAAAATAGTGCAATTTGTTGACCAGAATAAAGATTGCGCCATATTATTCAGTTACAACAAGAGTGGTATTGAGCCTTTAAGAATTTCAAACAGATGAGACGCTAACTTTTACCACTCACTCACCTGAACCATCAACAGATTGTAAGAGAGATGTTTTCTCCTGGGCAGTTTTTAGCTCTGTTTCTAAATTCTGTATCTTTTTCACGTAACCATCTATCTGTTGTTGATGTTGTTGATTTGAGTTCTGTAGAGATTGTTGAATGTCTGATAAAGATGAGTTTTCATTCTGTAAATCACTTATCTGTTAATAAAATATAAATAAATCATTATAAAAAATCGGGAGAACTTCAATTGCTGACTTGGAAACAATGAAATTGGGTTTTCAACATCTTATTTTTCTGCATCAACCAGGCTAATGAAGATGGACATAAAGAGAGAGAGAGAGAGAAATGGGGTTTTACGTCCACTCGACACAGACTAGGTCATTTCGGGACTAACATATGGTTTAACCTTATTTCAATAATCCGCTTGCGCGTAGGGATCTTTTGCAGTGGGAGGAAACCGGAGGACCCGGAGAAAACCCACGAGGTTGGACGGGCGACCCTACTCCTTGTCACGTACAACCAGGGATTAAGAGACTTAAACATACATTGTGCAAGAACTAAATCTGCCTATTGCAGGTCTTTCTTTAGCAGTGGGAGGAAACCGGAGGACCCGGAGCAAACCACGAGGTTGGAGAGGCGACCATACTCCTTGTCACGTACAACTGGAGATTCGAAACCACGCCAGTTGACTCAATGACAGGCCTTATGATACAGCACACACGTGCTTACCATTCGGCCATCCAACCCCCCGAAGATGAACATAAACCGGGCAGTGTGCCATGTCGGAGGAAATTTTGCTATAGCCTACTCTTATTGTAATCCCTAACATGCTACCAATGGTATACATGTGAACTTGTTTTTGTTGTTCCATCTTGATGCTTTTCCTTACCAGGAACTATCTCTGCCAACACCAGGATAAAGAAATGAAATGAAATGAAATTGGGTTTAATGTCCTACTGTTCTGCTCTGAACTGGGCTAATGAAGACGGGCATATTTCATACAGTGTGCTATGAGGAAAATTTTGCCCGGACAGCAGCACTATGGCCTACTCTTATATCGAATTCCAATTGTCAAGGGATCTTTTACGTGCATGCCAATGTGTACACAGGAGATCGTTTTTTCGTCCAATTCGAACGACTAGACAACTGTCCTTGTCAGGCCCTCTGTCCTGCATCAATGACAAGTGGGAACCACACCGGAATATCTAGATGAACTTTCTCGGCCTATGCAGGGATCGAACACCAGACCTCCAGGCTAGCGAGCCAGCGTCTTACCCACCTTTACCCCCCCCCCAACCCAGGACCTACTTATCACTAGGGACCAGGTATTATTCAGATTTCATGAAAAAAGGAAAGAAACTGAGCTTACCATCTATAATCTAATACACATAAAGTGACATATTCAGTTAATAGATTGCCATGCAGAAAGTATTAAATACCATCAAGATTCATCAAATAACGCCCAGTTTGTGCTACCGTTTAGTTTAAAGATACATTATGGGAGATAAGATAAAGAGATGGCAGTTCTCGCTATAATAGTTAAAAACTAGATAGTGTAAAGGTAATTTGCATAGTCTCGGTTATCATTACTAAAATCATTAATATAAACAGCATAGTCTCGATTATCCACTTTTTCTGATTTAATTATCCTTGGCCGTTAGCGGCATATAGGAATCTAATCCAGCCTACATCGAAGGCTAGCCTTGACATCGAGAGTTTATTATGGTCTGGATAAATTAATTAATGTCTAATTGATAATTTAGATAACATTTCAGGCCTAAAGAAAGACTTGTAATAAGCAGATTTTTCTCTTGCATAATGCATGTTTAAGAAACATCATTTAGTTTTGACATCAGTCATCTAGTTTATGACCATTTAGTTTAGTTTTGATATTGGTCATCCAGTTTATGACCATTTAGTTTCATAAACTAGACAACCAATGTCAAACTAAACGGTAGCACAAACTGGGCGGTTTTTGATGAATCTTGATGGTATTTAACACTTTCTGCATGGCAATCTATTAACTGAATATGTGTATTAGATTATAGATGGTAAGCTCAGTTTCTTTCCTTTTTTCATCAAATCTGAATGATATCCGGGACCTACTTATAATTGAAGATGATTATCTACCCTTGATTTAACTTGATTCTAAACCAGTCTTAGTCTCATTGTTTACGTTCTCAACAACATGAGTAAGTTTGCAAGAAATTTAATATGTAAAAAGTGACATGCACACAAAAAGATGTGTTAGTACATCTTTCTGATGGGGAAAGATGTTTTTATGTCAGTCAAAACAAGCAGTGGCAAGTCGTTATGGTATCAAGTGTATTGGTCGATAAAAATGACACAATCATCAAGGGAGGTAATTTGAATATGTGTCTTCCCCATGGATGAACCCAGGGTATAGTGGAGTAGAATGGAATGAGACCACTGAGGATATTGATTCTTCTCTAGTCTTTATCAAGCAATAAACAGTAAATGTATGCCATAGAATTGTGTCCTGTGTAATATATTACAACCTACCTGTTTCTTATAGACATCCAGATCTTTGCCTTGTTGAGTTAACTGTACAGCAGAGTTATCTATCTTAGCCTGTAAAGATGTCTTCTCAGTTTCCACTTTAGACAAATCTTCACTGAATCTATAAATACAACAATTGGCATATTTAATTGTGGAGTATGTCACTTCAGTATATATGAATCATGAAGGATTCCAAAAAGACGTGTTTTACTATAATAGACAAAATGATCAGTATTCAATATTTGTTTGGTTGGTACTATAAAGGTTTCCAAAAGCATGTTTCACTATAATTGACAATATGATCAGGGGCCTGTTTCTCGAAACATTAACTAAGATAAAATCTAAATTTTAGTAAAATGATTGGATAATACTAGATTGATTTTAGCGCTTAGCCAATCAAAATTGAAGTATCTACTAAAATTAGATTTTGTCTTTAGTTAATATTTCGAGAAACAGGACACAGCAGTAAATATTTGCTTGGTTGCTACCATTACTGAGAGGGATGAAATTGATCATCGGAACAAGTTAATTAGCTCTCAATATTAATTGTTTTTCTTTTGGCTAAACAAGGTGTCTAAAATATATTTCCTATTTAGTGTAAATGAGTACATAAAATAGTATGCAAAGGCATAAAATGAGTAAAAGGCACCAATTCTGCTTGGACCAGTTTGTGGTTCGACGTTGTAAGATGTTATGTCACATGTAGACCTATACTGCATGTGACCTTAAAAGGTCAGTCAACATCTACAGAGTTAAAAGGCGTTCACATTATGGCTGTGAAACAGAGAGAGAGAGAGAGAGAGAGAGAGAGAGAGAGATGGGGTTTAACGTCCACTCGACACAAACTAGGTCATTTCGGGACTAACACATGGTTCAATTTTATTTCAATAATTTGCTTGCGCGTAGGGGTCTTTAACAGTAGGAGGAAACCGGAGGACCCGGAGAAAACCCACGAGGTTGGACAGGCGACCTTACTCCTTGTCACGTACAACCGGGGATTCGAAACCATGCCAGTCGACTCAACGACAGACTTTACGATACAGTGCGCGCACGCTAACCATTCAGCCCCCCCCCCCCCCGCTGTGAAACAGATTGTATAATTGCTTCTAAGAACCTTATTGTTAAGTCTTGGGCCCTTATTCATGAAAACTTAAACTAAGATACAATCGAAATTTTAAGAAATACTGCAATTCGATTGGCTGACCAGTAAAATCAATTTACATATATCCAATGAAGTGGCAGTATTTCTTAAAATTTTGGTTGTAACTTAGTTTAAGTTTTCGTGAATAGGGGCCCTGGATTGAAATATACGAGGGTTTCACTCAATCTCATTAAAATACAGATCTATATTTCGTTTCGTTTTCTTATACTTTCGATGGCCTACACTACATGAAGATCTGACAACTTGTACTGGAAGGTAGTGTCAGGGGTTGTACGAGCAGCTTTTGACCCTATGATGTCATACATTGAATAATCAATCAGCACTGACGTTTTTAGTGGTTTACCCAAGAAGTCGCCGAAACAGACTGTTTCATTGGCTAAACCCTCACTTCAACCAAAACGCTGGTAATATAACAACTCTTCCAGATCTTAGTGTAGTAAAAATAAGTAAAACGAAATTTTGAACTATAAAAAACGAAATGAAATAGGATCTGTGTTTTAATCAGATCAGGTTTCACTATGGTAACACAATTTAAATAATGCAAATTTGGTTTAACATCTTACATTTATACACCAACAACAAGCCTAATGAAATCTGGCGTACACCATGCAGTGTGATATAAGAGAAACATTGTCTTAACAGTGGCGCTGAAATCTATTATTTAATTAAAATTCTATGAAATGGGGTTCAGTGCCCACTGATCCGAACCATCAGGCTAATTTTGCCTGGGTGGTGGTGGATGTACATGTACACATGAGTGGCCATTGGTTTATTATCCCATCTGAGCAACTAGATCCCTTTGGGGAAACCAGGTCCTCTAAATCTGTCCTGCATCGATTACAATGGGGAAACTTTTTCAGCCAATACCAGGGTCGAACCTGGGAACTGCTGATTAGTGTCCAACAGCCATATTCACTGAGCAACCATATGGCTCCCAAAACCTAGATGAGCTTATAACCATATGTGTTGGATCGTATAGTAAGCATTACTTTCATATATTGTATCACCAAGCTAGTATATCATAACACCCTTATCAATCACTTATCTCCCCTTATCATTTAAACTTGTGTATATAGCATTAATTTGTTTCTTTTGTTTAATATCAAATCTTTGTTTAAAAATTTGCAAAAATCATTTAAAATCATCAAAAATCATCTAATTTGAACTTGTGTCCAGTTTAAAGCTGACTGATTAATTTTGATAATGAGTGTCCAATTTACAAGTATTTAATTTCCTGACCACTCTTCAAAAATTAATCATTATACATCAATAATCAATTGGGTTGTTTATATTTTAACAGTGATCGAGAAATTAAACACTTGTAAATTGGACACTCATTATCAAAATTGAAAGGTCAATTTCAAACTGGACACAAGTACAAATTAGATGATCTTTGGTGATTTTAAAAGATTTTCATCAATTTTTAAACAAATATTTGATATTGAATGAATGTGTAAGAAATTAGTGCTAGACACACAAGATTAAATAATACCCGGATTACAGTGACATATAGATGCTCCTGTTCTATTTGCAAAAAAAAAAGAGAATTGAATCAAATCCATTTAGCACAAAATTTGCTTACAGAAAAAAGAAAGCAAAGCTTAAAGAACAAATGGACGTATACTTGTACTGTACAACAAAGCATTCCCATATAAGAATCAAAATATATAAATGATATAAAAATCTCAAAATATTTTGAAAAGTTTATTAATGCTCTTGAAGTAGCTAGATCATCTGTTTAGTACCTAAACCTCCAGTGTGATTATAATCAAAGCCAGATTGTGAATATGTAAAAATGTTTGTGAAAGTAGCCAGATCATCTGCTTAGTACCAAAACCTCCAGTGTGTTTATAATCAAAGCCAGGTTGTGAATATGTAAAAATATTCTTGAAAAGTAGGTAGATCACCTGCTTAGTACCTAAACCTCCAGTGTGATTATAATCAAAGCCAGGTTGTGAATATGTAAAAATGTTTGTGAAAGTAGCTAGATCATCTCCTTAGTACCTATTTATAAGCAAAGCCGAGTTGTTAATTAGTAAGAAAAATCATCAGAAGCAATTTAAACCCATTAGTTTTATTAATTAGTTAAATGTAATTCCACCATTAGTCTAGAACATGGTGGCATTATTTTTAGTGCATTTTCACTGCTTGGTGATCAAAATTGTAGCTGGCTAACAATGAAATCTTATTCATATTTACAATGTAGCATGCTCTGTTTTCCGTGATAATCATTTTGTTTTTTTAATTTTTACGACTGCAGTAGTGTCAAATCTGATTTTTCATTGATGCTTTTTTCTAAGCCTTATCCCAATTATTTTCCCCCATATTCCATTTTGTCAATTAACTAGGGAAAAATTTACATAAGACCATCTCCAAAGCACTGCTTAATGATTCAGATGTCACAATAGGTGCTGTCCATGCTACATCCAAATTAATTTTTAAAGCTTATTACCATCAGTACTTTACCATCATTATTGATATTACAGTGAAATGAAAATGAAATGAAATGGGGTTTAATGTCCTACTGTTCTGCTCCGAACTGGACTAATGAAGACGGGCATACGCCATACAGTGTGCTATGAGGGAAATTTTGCCCAGACAGCGGCACTGGGGCCTACTCTTATATCGAATTCTAACTGTCAAGGGATCTTTTACGTGCAGGCCAATGTGTACAAGGGACCTCGGTTTTTCGTCCCATCCAAACGACTAGACAGCTGTCCTTGTCAGGCCCTCTGTCCTGCATCACTCACAAGGGGGAACCACGCCGGAAAATCTGGATGAACTTTCTCGGCCAATGCAGGGATCGAACACCCGTTCTCCTGGATAGCCAGCCAGCGTCTTACCCACTTAGTCACCTCGGCCCTGTTTCTCGAAATCTTAACTAAAGATAAAATCCAAATTTTAGTAGATACTTCAATTTTGATTGGCTAAGCACTAAAATCAATCTAATATTATCCAATCAGATTACTAAAATTTGGATTTTATCTTAGTTAAAATTTTGTGAAATAGGCCCCAGATATTTCAGTAAATGTTTTATTGCAATATTAATACAATTCATTACATCTATATATACACCATAATACACTGTAACCCAGGTATCGTTTAATCTTGTGTGTCTAGCACTAATTTCTTTCACATTCGTTTAATATCAAATCTTTGTTTTAAAATTCATAAAAACTGTTTAAAATCACCATAAATCGTTTAATTTGTACATGTGTCCAGTTTAAAGCTGACTGATTAATTTTGATAATGAGTGTCCAATTTACAAGTATTTAATTTCCTGATCACTGTTCAAAAATTAATCATTATACATCATTAATCAATTGGGTTGTTTATTTTTTAACAATGATTGAGAAATTAAACACTTGTAAATTGGACACTCATTATCAAAATTGAATGGTCAGCTTTAAACTGGACAGAAGTACAAATTAAACGATTTATGGTGATTTTAAACAGTTTTTACAAATTTTTAAACAAAGATTGGATATTAAATGAATGTGAAAGAAATCAGTGCTAGTTACACAAGATTAAACGATACCTGGGTTACAGTAATAACAGCTATATAATAATTATATGATTATTGAAACTAATGAAGCAAATATTAATTAAAGTAATATCTACTACTAATAATAAAATGTTACAATTCATGCCAAGCTGATTACTTTTTCTTACCATGAATAGGACATTAAAGTTGTTTAAACCATTTAGATTAATTAGCAGCCAAACAAACACATAAATATTAGAAGTTTTTTTTATGACAACACAATTTTTAAATATAATTACATATATTGCTACATAAATGGGTTATTATATATTTGTCACAAGGAATTAACAATACATTACGTAATTGTGTTAATCTATCTATATATAGGAGTTAATCAATTATATAATTTGACACAAGGTACAATTTTATGGAAACGTCGCTCAGTATTAAACTCAGTAATTGTGTATCCATAAAATTGTACTTTGTGTTAATATGTTCAATTACTAAAAGCTAATCAAAACAAATTATAATTTGAAAGTATTTGGCGGAGGGAGAAACAGGGTTTAATGTCCACTAAACGTAAAATTTGTCATTTTAGGACTAACATATGATCTCTGAAAAATGACAATGACAATGAGCTGCTTTAATCAAGTTCAAATCAGACATTATTCTTCAGTTAGTGTTTTATTCTATTCAAAATTAATCATTTCCAACAAATCTAATTTAATACTCGACAAAATAATTTATAAATTTTACCTTGTTTTAGTCTCTTGTAATTCATTCTGCAGTTGACTTTTCTCTTCTTGTAACTACATAATTAATATACATGAAATGAAATGGGTTTTAACATCCTACTGTTCTGATCCGACTGGACTAATGAAGATGCACTTGCACCATACTGTGTGCTATGACAGCAGCGCTACAGCCTAATGTTTTATGGAATTCCAACATGCAATTTCTGCATAGGACCTCAGTCTTTCGTCGATCAGAACGACTATACGTCGTCCCTTGTCAGGTCCTCCATCCTACAATTGGGAACTACGACAGAAAATCCTGATGAACTTTCTCAGCCAACGCAGGGCCATACAGGTTAACGAGTCAATGTCTTAGCCACTGAGCCACTGGGCTCCCAACTACATTATATAATATATTTCTCACAATGAAATGAAATGGGGTTTAATGTCCTACTGTTCTGCTCTGAACTGGGCTAATGAAGACTGGCATACGCCATACAGTGTGCTATGTGCGAAATTTTGCCCGGACAGCGGCAATAGGCCTACTTTTATATCGAATTCCAACTGTCAAGGGATCTTTTACGTGCATGCCAATGTGTACATGGGACCTCGGTTTTTCGTCCCATCCGACCGACTAGACAGCTGTCCAACATCCATCATAATAAATAAACAATTATTCATTATGTAGAATCTACCAATATTTGTGGAATTTGTCATCAAGAGCTTAGAGAAAAGAAATGAAATGGGGTTTAACGTCCTACTGTTCTGCTCTGACAGGGGTATTGAAGACGGCCATACGCCATACAGTGTGCTATGAGGGAAATTTTACCCGGGCAGTGGCACCATGGCCTACTCTTTTATCGAATTCCAACTGCCCAGGGATCTTTTACGTGCACGTCAATTTGTACACAGGACCTCTTTTTTCGCTCCACCCAAACAACTAGACAGCTGTCCTTGTCAGGCCCTCCATCCTGCACCACTAAAAAAGGTGCTTGGAGAAAAGGAATCTGGAATCAATAATCAATAAAAGCTCAATCCAGCCTGGATAGCAGGCACTATAATTTTGTACAGTACAGGGTTGTCTTTTTTAAAGATACATTTTGTAAGATTTAGATAAAGAGCTAGCCATTCTTGCTATGATAGTTTGAAAATAGATAATGTTAAATGAATAATTTGAAAATTTCATTCAAATTACTCTATTGTGAGCGAAGATATTAGCCTTTGAAGGTTTGACAAGATGTTTGCAATAATTTCAACCATCGTACTGGTTGTTTGAAGCCAAGTCTCACTTCTCCATTTTTAGCTTAAATCAAAATATGGCTGAACTGTTCTAATCTATTTAATGTCGGAGAAATCAAATGCCATCGAGAGTTGATTATGGCCTGGATAAGTTAATTAATGTCTAATTAATAATTTAGAAAACATTTCAGGCCTAAAGAAAGACCAGCAATAGGCAGATTTAGCTCTTGTATAATGTATGTTTAAGCAATATGTTTTTATAAATCTCAGTACAAAAGTTAGAGACATAAAAGTACAAATACACAAGTGTCTGACATTTTGTCTAAAATTGCTAGACAGAAGAAGGGAGTGAATTTAACAAAACCATTCAACATTTGAGCAAATGGGTCCCTTGATGCACATATAACCATTGCAACAAAAAAACTTTTCAAAGTAAAGAAAACTATTGAAAGATGAGTAATAATCCTCCTACCTTTTGTCGTTGTTCTGATATTAAATCGGCTAACTGTAATTTCGATTTCATCTCATCTCTTTCAGCCTGTGTTATCTTTAACTCAGATTCTACACTCTGTAGTGATATCTGTAAATTGTCTCTGTTAATTACAAATAATTAGATTTTAGTTTAGTGTCACACAAAAGAAAGATAGAGATATGGGATTTAACGTCCACTCGACACAAACTAGGTCATTTCGAGACTAACATATGGTTCAATTTGTTTTCAATAATTCGCTTGCGTGAAGGTGTCTTTAGCAGTGGGAGGAAACTGGAGGACCCAGAGAAAACCCACAAGTATAGAGAGGCGACCCTACTCCTTGTCACGTACAACCAGGGCATCGAAACCATGCCAGTTGACTCAATGACAGACATTATGATACAGCGCATACGTGCTAACCATTCGGCCATCAAAAACCCCTCACATAAAAGAAGCTACTTCAAAATTTGAAATGCAGATATAATAAACTAGAAAGATTTCCCGTTATAATCAAACTTTTCAAAACAAAATTTTAAATTAGTAACCTGCCATAATAAATATAATATATTGCCTTACATTTCTGTGGCCAGATTGGATGTTTCTGATTCTGTTTGTGATTTCTCTAATAATATCTTGGCTTGATTTGCAGATTCTACTTTCAATTTCTCAACCTGTAAAAATAATTCATTAATGCAAGAACAGATCTAAACAATGTTTGAACTAAAAGAAAAAATTTTTTTATGGAAAGTTAAGTGGTGTTGCTATTATCTTAAGATCTGAACATTCAAATTTGCATGGAGCGGAATGTTTTTTAATCAAATGAAATCGAATTTAACATTCTACTGTTCTGCTTCGACTGGGTTAATGAAGACGGGCATATACCATACAGTGTGCTATGAGGGAAATTTAGCCTGGGTTGCGGCACTATGGCATGCCAATGTATACACAGGTCCTCGTTTTTTTCATCCGATCCAAATGACTGGACAGCTGTCCTTGTTGATTTTTAATGTTTCATCAACATGATAACTCTGTTCTTGGATTTCCAACCATCAAGGGGTCTTTGACATGCACTTCAATGTGTACACAGGTGAAGCTCAGTTTTACCATCCCAACTGAACTTTCCTCAGTCCCATGGGTGACACCTCTCAATAATTAAGGCCTTGAATAATCCTTGAGTATTTTCTCGGCATGAGTTAATATTCGGGACGTCCGGTAAATGATCACCCACCTCTTTTTGAAGTGTATCTATCTGAATATCTTTTTGTTGTAAATCTGCTTTAAAAACAATTATTTCCTGTTTCAGTTGATCTCGTTCTGTTGCGATTTCATCTTTTTCTTTCTTTAATTCATCCTTCTGTTTCTCTAACTAGAGACAAAACAATGAAATAAATTAAATTTATCCTTCTGTATACATCTATGTGTGGAATAAACTTCCAGAAAATATTCGACAATGTGATTCTATGTCAGTTGTTAAAAAGACAACTGAGTTATTTAGTCACTATCATTAACAATCCAAAGTGAGAGAATTTTCTAGTGCCTGGAGCAGTGATTCTCAACCAGTGTGCCGCGAAATTCTGAACGGCACACTAAGAAAATGCGAAAAACCAAGTGATCCCAATTGAGTAATCACTGTTGTTCATAGCTGTGTTTTTCTTTATTTAATTGAGTCTTTCTATGTGTCTATGACTAGTCTATGTCTACAGTTGTATACCGATTGACTTGCCATGTTTTTATTTTCTAAAATTAAAATATTTTCATATATATATATTTAGCCAGGTGTGCCGTTATTTTTTCATGCGTTCCAATGTGTGCTGTTGGCAAAAAAAAAAAGGTTGAGAACTAGAGCATTCCCTAGTGGATTGACTAGTTGCATGATACAAATATCTTTATAATACAAAGCAGGATCTATAATCAATCAGATAATTCTCAGCTTATCAAAACTGGATGAAGATAAATGTGTGACCAGTGTTTCCATTATTACTAGAGACTGGAATAATCTGTAGAATTTTATGTAGAGTTTGACTAGAGGTGGCTAATGTAAGTGTCTTTAGCTGTGGGAGAAAACTCCAGGCCCGGAAAAAACACATGAGGATGGACAGGCAACCCTTTCCTTTTCTCCTACAAGCTGAGAATCAAAATCAAAACCACGCTACTAGACTCAATGCACACACATTTCTTCGTTCGACCAGCCCCGCTCCCCCCAATCCACCCAAGAAAAAATCTTCATTATTTACCTCTGCTTTTAATTTATCAGTTTTTTCAACAGATTTCTGTAAAGTTTCTATTTGTTCTGCCATAGATTCCTTCTCGGCAGCCATTGTTTTCTGTTCACCTGTGATTTTTGTCATTTCAACTTTAGAGTGGATTAGTTCCTTATTTAATTCTTCTTTTTCTCCTTCCAGTCGCTTTAAATTTTTTACTAATTTTTCTTTCTCGAATTTTAACGAGTCTCTGTCTTGTGTTATTGTGTCTAAAACCTGGAAATAAAAATAAATTGTGATGAATATGGCAATAAATGTTACGCAAATGCTATTCAAGAACTCATCACCATAAAAATTTGTCAAGTATCAAATTAATTCCAACTAATTAGGGATCTTTTTATGTGTCATTTATAGTTCAATAATCTTTTCATATGATGTTCTCTTTGGCAGTCAGAGAGAGAGAAATGGGGTTTAACGTCCACTCGACACAAACTAGGTCATTTCGGGACTAACACATGGTATAATTTTTATTTCAATAATTCGTTTGCGCGTAGGTCTTTAGCAGTGGGAGGAAACGGGAGGAACCGGAGAAAACCCACGAGATTGGACAGGCGTCCCTATTCCTTATCACGTACAACCGGGGAACCAAAACCACGCCAGTTGACTAAATGACAGGCTTTATGATACAGCGCGCACGTGCTAACCATTCAGCCATCCAACCCCCTCTTTAGCAGTCGGAGTAGCCATGAGACTAGCAAATGGGGGGGGGGGGGGAAGGGTGCATTTATAAGTGGGAGAAAATATATTAACTGCAGCTATTCTAGTTCTACTAAAAATAAGAAACAGGTTATTTGTCACAAAGGGTTGACAAAATGAAATAAAATGGGTTTAACGTCCTACTGTTCTGCTCTGACTGGGCTAATAAAGACGGGCGTGCGTCACAGTGTGATATGAAGGAAATTTTGCCCAAACAGCGGTCTACGGCCTTATATCAAATTCAAACTGCAGTGGGATCTTTTATGTGTATGCCTATGTGTACATAGGGTCTCAGGTTTTTTCAGCCCATCCAAATGACTATACGCTGTTCCTCTGTCAGGAAAATCCAGATAAACACGGGACCTTCAAATTAGCGAGCTAATGTTTTACTCACTGAGTCACTGTGGCTTATGTACATAATAAAGGTGTTTATCACGATTGTGCATTGGTAACTACTGACTAACCTGTTTATGTTTTACTCACCGAGTCACTGTGGCTTATGTACATAATAAAGGTGTTTATCACGATTGTGCATTGGTAACTACTGACTAACCTGTTTATGTGCCTGTGTTTATCACGATTGTGTCTTGGCAACTACTGACTAACCTGTTTATGTGCCTGTGTTTATCACAATTATGCATTGGTAACTACTGACTTACCTGTTTATGTGCCTGTGTTTATCACAATTGTGCATTGATAACTTCTGACTAACCTGTTTATGTGCCTGTGTTTTGTTCTCTTGTTGACTTAAAGCCTCTACGCTATTTGCTATTTGATTCCTTAATTCACTAATCTCACCATCTTTTCTACTTATCATTTCCTCTTTTTCTTTAGTAAAATCTTCAGTTAATTTCTCTATTCTAGATTTAGATTTAGTAAGTTCAGCTTGCTGTAATAAAGAAAGATATTGTTACTTACGACAATACTGATTAAAATATTCTTTTATATTACAACATCTCAGAGTTACTTCCCCTATCAACTCTAGATGGCATCGCTAGCCCGTGATCTTAAGTGGATTGTGAGCCGATTTACTGCATAACTTTCCTTCTCGATTAAACGATTAAATGGATAATCAAGACTATGCTGTTTATCGTACTGACTTTAGTAATGATGACCGAGGCTAGGCAGAAATTTCATTAGCTTAGTTCTCTGTTCATAGTGGATCAATTTGAATGAAATTTTCAGCAAATTGCCGTTGCGTTAACTAGTTTTTAATTATTATAGTGAGAACTGCCAACTCGTTATCAAATCTCCCATAATGTATCTTTAATTGACATCGAATTATGGATACTAGTAAATCAGTTTGTTGAACAGCCTTGAAACACTACTCAAATTCGATAATTTAATCATTTATTTTGCACTATCTCATTCATTTTACCATGAGAGTTCACATAGTAATATTGGTTGTACATGTGCAGTTAATAAAGTATGTAGTGTCATTCATTTTATCTAGGAAGTTCACATAGTCAATCATTTTGGTTGTACTTTTTTTCACTTTATCTAGAACTTCACATAGTTAAAAATCTTGGTAGTACTTTCATTCATTATATCTAGTATTTAAGCTTACAAGTTAGTTATCTTAATTGTACTTTCATTCATTTTATCTAGATCTTGGAAGTTCACATTGTTAACAATCTGGGTTGACTTTCATTAATTTTATCTATGAAATTCATTCATTATAGCTAGTATAAGCTTACAAGTTAAGTATTTTAATTGTACTTTCATTCATTTTATCTAGATCTTGGAAGTTCACATTGGTAACAATCTGGGTTGAATTTCATTAATTTTATCTATGAAATTCATTCATTATAGCTAGTATAAGCTTACAAGTTAAGTATTTTAATTGTACTTTCTTTCATTTTATCTAGATCTTGGAAGTTCCCATTGGTAATAATCTGGGTTGACTTTCATTAATTTTATCTATGAAATTCATTCATTATAGCTAGTATAAGCTTACAAGTTAAGTATTTTAATTGTACTTTCATTCATTTTATCTAGATCTTGGAAGTTCCCATTGTTAGTAATCTTGGTTGACTTTCAGTAATTTTATCTATGAAGTTCAAATAGTAATTTTGGTTGTAGTTTTGTGCATTTTATCCTGTAAAAAGAACTCACCACATCCTCAAACTGTCCCTGTACAGCTGACAGTTCAAGATTATTTTTATTTACAATTTCTTCTTTATTTTTCTCAAACTCCTCCTTCAACGCCGTAATTTCTTCGTTAAGCTTTGAAATTTTTTGAGAAGAGTTGGACAAGTTGTTTTGTGCTTCCTCGAGTCTTCTGTAAAATCAAAACAGTATAAAGTCTTAGTAAATTTTCCTTAAAAATGTTTATATTACCTTTGGAAGTCAGCGTATTCATAATTCTAAACAAGATAACACTGTAACCCAGGTATCGTTTAATCTTGTGTATCTAGCACTAATTTCTTTCACATTTGTTTAATATCCAATCTTTGTTTAAAAATTTGTAAAAATTGTTTAAAATCACCAAATATCATCTAATTTGTAAATGTGTCCAGTTTAAAGCTGACTGATTAATTTTGATAATGAGTGTCCAATTTACAAGAATTTAATTTCCTGATCACTGTTCAAAAATTAATCATTATACATCATTAATGAATTGGGTTGTTTATTTTTTAACAATGATTGAGAAATTAAACACTTGTAAATTGGACACTCATTATCAAAATTGAATGGTCATCTTTAAACTGGACAGAAGTACAAATTAAACGATTTATGGTGATTTTAAACAGTTTTTACAAATTTTTAAACAAAGATTTGATATTAAACGAATGTGAAAAAAATTAGTGCTAGATACACAAGATTAAACGATACTTGGGTTACAGTGTAAAATTCTATACAACTGTTTAAAAGCATTAATTATAAGAAAGAAATATCAGAATTAACAGAAAGAGACAGGTTTTTCTTACCATATAACCATGTCTTAACATCACTAGACAGCTTTGATTTGGGTCAAAAATAAAATTGCAAATTTTAATGTGTTTTATGTGTTAATTTGTTTTGTGACAAGACAATCTGTCTTCACTGAAAATTTTTCCTCATGGATCGATAAAGCCTGTGTTGTACAATATAACCCATTTTGTGATCTGCTGTTGATTCATTAAGTCAAAGATGAAATTAAAATTATTAAACATACCAACTTCAGGAGAAGAAAAAACACATAAAATACTTTATTTTGACCTGAATCAAAGCGGTTTAGTTCCTTTAAAGGAACAGTCCCAAATTTCACAATGTGCTTAAGTTGGGGATCTTCCGTGTCTAAAAAATGGATTGACATTTTAGTTACATTGCCAAATTGTTCAACAATGGTATAGGTAACTCTGATTTAAAAAAAAATAATCCATTTTGTGATCTGATAAAAAAAAACAAACAAACTCCCATGCATCAGTAACTGAGTTTGAAAACCTTACTTTTTGTTGGAACCAGAAAGGTGTCACCATGCAGCCAAATACCTTATCGACATAGTGTCGAAACAGAATCCTGAAATTTAACAAATTTGGATTTCCCCGGAAAAGCATAAATAGAGATTTAGATATTTGCATGAGACTAAGACAAGGATTTCTGGGATACTTTTAAACAGAAATTGTATATCTGAGACGGTTCCTTTAACAATATACCTTATACAAGAATCGAACCCCCTAAAACACTTAAAGCAACATTAATAGACAAAACAATAACTGGGACACATACAAATTTTTTTAAAAGAGGTGAATAAGCTAAAAGCCCACAATTTCCAAATTAAAATGGATGTACACATGGTTCTGAAATGAAATCGTTATATGGTTTCTATCACAGGCATTTAATTCCACATTCAATGTTTTCAGCTGCCAATAGGTCTTCTACACATACTGAATTAGCGTGTTTTGCTACAAGACTGAGGACATTGATCCATAAAGAAAGAAAATAGTCAAATAAAACAATATTTATGTACCAATTACTAAATACAAAAGAATATAAAGACAACGAATCAGATTTAAACAAATTAATAATTCTAATTGTAATAGAAATTTCCGACAAAATCCTAAAAACCCTTTTCTGAATTTCATATAAATCATATCCAAATTGAAATTACGTACCAAGAATTACAAATGAACACTCCATGTTGATTAAAAGTCTATAAAACACGCTATTTTCTCAGCTTAAAGAGCTTCGAAGAATGGGAATAAAACATAATCCTGAATTTGTATGAAAACTCACAAAAAACTATCAGAGAGACAGAATGCCACTGACTAAAAATCAATAATCTGTGGCCTGGATGGCAAAGTGGGTTGCAAGCTATGATACATGTACATTACATCACAGTCCTGTAACTCCAAATCGTTTAACATCATCCAGCCTACGTACATGCTAGAATAGGCAAATCGTATTGTTATTACAATAAATCGATAAAGATGTAAGAAACAAACTAACAATATTCTAACCATACTAAACCATTAATTTAAGAGTCTTTGAAAATATTTAAAAAATGGAAGAAAAATAGGATTGAAATCGATTAAAATCTCTAACATCATCACCAAACATATGGCTAAATTAAACTCTCTCAATTAGTGTGCTCGGCAATGTTGACTCTTGTCTCGATACACTTCCTGAAGATATGCACAGGTAGGTTTATAAACCAATAGGTAAGATAAATTTCATTTACATTTTTTCATCATATTTTATAACCCATCATGATCAATTTCATTTACAATTATTGCCTCTTATTTCATAAACTGACCTCAGAAAATATTTTTATCTTCTACAAAGGCATGTCTTATTTTTAATTTTCAAAATGTCTGATAGATGAATTGGTTATTCTTTATGAGTATTTGCAAAAAATGAATTTCAAATTAAATGGGTTTTTGTTCCAAATGCACAATATTTTCCTAAAGCACACAAATTAATAAAGATGAAATCATAATCTGGGGGTTGAATCATGCATGGTTAGGTTCTAAGAGTCTAAACGGTTTATCCTATTTGGAGTAGCATTTCTTATCCAAAATGATATCTATATTGAAATCGACCAAAATAATAATTGTATTGGAAGAAAATTTCTATTTATGCACCATGGATTGAAAATGTAAAGAACAAGCAATGTGCTAAATTAAAACAAACAAAAAGGTCATATCACCACATCATGAAGGTTGGTTGAAATACAGCAGGGGCAATGGATAATCCGAATGGCATTCTATAGCAAGCAGAGATTATTTTTGACATAACAAAATATTCCAGAAACTATTTGACAACTGCAAATACTTTTGAAAATCAAAATTGCACAAAACCACAAGATTCTCTCTTGTTTCGTTTTTCACCGTTTTCAGGTTATATACTGAGCTTTCTGGGTGCTTAACTAACAATCTGCTATCAAATTGCTCTGTAAGGTCTATCAAGCATTCAATTATACTACCCTATCAAATTCAAATTACCACAACTTATGGACCTAACAAGCAAAATTGGCATCACTGGAACAAACTCAACAAGCAAAATGATTCAATCAATGATAGCAAGCTATATATGGATATATAATATGGATTATATATTGGATTAAATAATCTACAAGATTACTGAATTTGTCACCTTGCTTTAAACTTGAGGAATGGTAGTAACTATGTGCTGTAAATACCCATATAAATATCAAGTAAAGAAGCGAATCAAAATTGCAGAAAATAAAATCAATAAAGTGTCAATTGTGATACATTAAAATCGAAGTTCAGGGTGGTAATATATTACCATTCATTCATATATTTTTTGTACTGATGATATAATTCGCAAAAGATTATAGATTTTTTTCAAAAAGAAAATTATGAGCAATCAAGTCATAATAAATGTGTTTGTAGTTTGATTGTCTCCTATTCAACCACAATAGAAAATGAATGGCCGAAATACAGAAATCAGAAGTAAGACAACGGGTAATCTATTTGATAGTGATACTCCACACACAAGGTCTTTTGGGATGAATCTGTCAAATTTGTTCATTATTTGAGGGGTTTTTTTTCACTTCTGTTTTTCATAATAGTGGGTATTCGCTCATTGAAATTTAAGAATGTTGAACTGTGTGCCTGTACTCTTTAGATGTTTAAGTGAATATTCTGGAACCCAACTCTCTCAACATCTAAGGAATCACGAGAATATTGGTCAAGAAGGAAAGCGCCAACAGAAATATGATACTATCTCAACCAATTCTCATTGCTGGACCGTTTAATTAAGTCACAAATCTGCTCATACCACATCTGTTTGGCAATTGTCAGCTGTGAAAGGACACAATTTCATTTCATTTGATTACAATTCCATCAATTCGGAACATTCTATTGTCTATCATTTAAATGGGAAAAAATAGGGGGGCATTTATTTCAAGGGAAAAAATATCTGAAAGAAATTCATAAATGGATTATATATGCATCTTTACTACCAGTGGGGATATGGATGCTGGGAAAACTAAAAACTGTTGAAATAAGCTGAAGATTTTGCTGGAAATGGTCTGTCTGGAACTTCAAACCTGCACTTGTTAATAGCTAAACATAAAATAGCTTGCAGAGATTGGACAAGGTGTAGGTTGTTTGTTTATATATAAAGCTTCATTGAAGTGTAATCTGGTCGGATTCATGCAACTTCCAGCTTAAGCGCCTCCTCTTTAAGCCATATAAAGACATGTATGTTTAACCGGCCATCACCTTTAACCAGAATCTATTACAAAACAGTCATCTCTAATACAAAAACAAATTCTAAATGGAGACCGAAGAACTAAATCATCTATAAAAAGGAAATGAACTAAAAATAACAAAACAAAACAAAACCCAAAACATAAATGTGACCATAATAAAATAAAAAAGAAAGACGGAACGTAAACAAAAACAAACATGCTCAACAGATTTAAAGATAAAACATTTAAAAAATATTTAAGAAATTAATGGATATGTCATATTTTTTGTTACAAAGTAGTATTGCAAATCAAAGCCCCTTGGAATATTTAATACCTAAATAGCTTTATATAAGCGAACATTTAAATTAAATATTAGATAAACATATTCTCAAAAAAACAAAAGCTCATGTAGCAATTTTGATATTAAGATCATTTATATACTCAGAATAGTCGATATCAATTAAAATATTTAAATAGTTAAATAAATCAAACATCAAAATAAAACAAAAATTAAAATTGCTAATAATTCACATTAATTAAATAAAAAGTGTAACAACATGATTAGGTGTTGATTAAATATTAAAGATAATTATAAAAAGTGCAAAGAGAGTGAAGGCTATAAAAAAAATAACAAATATCGAGCAAGCTGGTGCAGCATGCAAACTCAATAAATTAAGAAAACATTCACTGTAAGTCCTCAGTATATATCGATAACCCTGTTTCATTTCACAGAAAATATTTTCTGAAACCAAGTCTTCAATGGAAAATGTGCTGAATAATACAGGGAGAGGGGTTGACATAGGCTAAGTCTATTCCCAAATCCTGGTTCAGGGTCTACATGAATGAAAGATATTGTTAAAAATAAATAATTTTGTCAAACATCTCATCAGTGTTTACAAAAAAATATATAGTGTATTTTTTGGTATTCTGTTTACTTAAAGAGCAGACAGTGAATATTTCCTACTACAACAAGTAATTTGTTAATTTTGTTTTCAAAGGGGATTAACTGACCTATTTTTCTCGGTGAGTTCGTCATTAAGTAGCGACAGTTGGGTGGAACTGTCGCCCGAGTTTTTCATCAGATCAGCAAGCTGATTTTCCTTTGAGGGGGAAAAATTAGAAAAAAAAATAAAACTTTCAATCTAAAGCCTTGTGCTATGTTTCTTCAGAATAATAATAAATTAATACATATTGCTTCAGAAAATCAACAAATATAAATATCATTTGAAAATTGTCACAGAATTAAAAAATTGTTTTATTTTGCATATAGGAAAAAAAAATGGAAAAAAAAAATGGAATGAAAAACAAAATAATATTTAGGAAACACTGATATTTGCTAGAATTACGGGGTGATGTACGCAGAACTATCAAATACATATGTATGTGCAAATAAAACACAGCACTGATGACACAATACAACATAGTGACACAATGTTGACAATATTTAATTCTCTGGGGCTCTTTTCTCTCTTAATGCATGTTGTAATTCATAAATTTATGCCTATCAAAATGCATGTGGATACTATGTTGTAATTCATAAATTTATGTCTATCAGAATGCAACAACAATATATTGTGATACTTTGTAACCATTGTGAAAGAAAACGGACATAAATAAAATTTAAACATAATATAGGAGGTTTCAATCATGTCTTAGAAATGTTTAGGAAAATCATAGTATTTTGCATAGTACTCCATAATTACGACTGAAACATTAATTTATACAAATGTTGATAACATTCAATATGATTTATAATGTACTATTAATTGATGAAAATATGGTGGTTTATTCTTTAGACGAAAAGTTCAAATAATTAATATGCTGTCTGATTGGTTACAATTTTAACGCACATAACAAAGACACAATGCTGACATCAATGTTTATATATCAATTATGATTTATTACTTATGAAAAATGATGTCCATTCATTTATTATGATGTAACAATGTTGATAGTAATGTTTATATTATAGTAAATGATTTATTTTCCATGAAAACAATATCGATGTATGTTTATATTATAGTAAATGATTTATTTTCTATGAAAACAATATCGATGTCCATTCATTTATTAAGATGTTACAATGCTTTATCCATTAAGATATGCTGAGCATGTAAATAATATTAATAATGAATAGTTAAAATGATACAAAGTGTGCAATTATTTGACAGAAATGGTTATTACACTACCACTACTACTAAGTTACATATATCCCAGACTTATATTCAATTAAAAATATAATATTAATTTATCTGATAGAAATGGGTATAATGACTACTACATATTGTCATATATCTCAGATGTATACTAAATGAAAAATTGCAACATTTATATTTGGTTTGTTTCCCCGAGTTCTTACAATGTCATTTCAAGTTTTTATTAGCCTGACCTTACATCTTTGGATATAATTTCTGGCATTAGATGCAGAACAATTTCAATAGTTTATTATTAAAAATAAGTTGAATAGTCCATGAATATTCAAATTCGTAATAGTTTTTATTCATGTAAATTCTTATATTATCCAGAACAGTCAATTCCCATTCTCATTTATTTGAGTTCACAGAACTATTAGCCTAGTGGGAGCAGAAAAGTAGGACATTAAACCCCATTTCATTTCATTTCAGTTCACAGAACTAAAAATATAGACCTAGTGTTTGTGTAAGTATTTGATTCTAATTAAATTATGTAATTGAACATTACTAGGTTTAGATGCTGTTTACTCTTAATATGTAAATGAAGATCTATTTATAGAACAGTCCATTTGCTGATTACACTATTTTGCCGATACCGTTTTTTGGAACTTCAAATTTTGTCTAATGGTTTGGATTGTTCGTATTTGATTTTATTCCTAGTTTGCATGTACTACATCCCTTTTATATTTTTGACAATTCAAGCGACCCTAACAAATCGAGTAATTTGGCAGTATGGAGTAATTAATGGCAAATGGATTTGCCATATTGGAAAATTTTAATTGGTGGAAAGTAATGTATCTCTACTTTCTTTTTATTATTTTATCATAGCACAAGATCAATAGATCAATATTTAAACTGAATACATTTAAAGCCAACAACAATGACAAAAAATCAAAAAATAAATTTCACATAGTTATTATATTACAATCAATTCTTCACTAAACAACAATTTTATCTCAATAAACAACAAAGCATTTACAAGTTCTGTCATTTAAACTGCATTCACAAATGAATCATGAAAAAAAGTGAAAGTAACTTTGCATAAAAATCATTTCAATTAAGATTTTGCAATCCTTTTTAAATGTGTAAATGCCAAAGCACTGATTATCAGATTTTATTATTACATTAACATTTACAGGCATGATGTTATAAGGCCTTAGTTAAAATAATCTTTAAGAGACATTTAGTAACTTGGTAGAGCAATACACAAAAAACACATACTTATGGAAAAACAGCTACTTATTTATAAATAAGTAGCTGTTTTTCCATAAGTATGTGTTTTTTGTGTATTGCCTTAGTTAAAGGTAGTGATTCAATTGTAGCAGTTTTAACAGAACCTATAAAAAGTCACTAACGGCAACTAAAGTTGGAACACTGAATATATCTACATGTATATTTAATATTTCTAGTGACAGAATAACTGATATAGAATTAAGACCTTCTCTAGTCAGTATGTCAACCCTTACGGTCCAGAAATAAAATTGAAACATATGTTGGTCCCCCCCTCTCTCTCTCTCTCTCTGTCTCTCTTCAATATGTGAACTCTTACTACAGTTCAAAAAGAATTTAACATTCAACATTCTTGCCAATAAAGAAATCAAGTTCTAATTTCTGGATCTTATACAATAATCCCCTGCATTGTTTTAAATAAATCATTTTGCACTTTAACCTTTTGTGCTCTGCCACCTTACAGCTAGAGTCCGGTCAGATTTTCAATCAGCCACATCGATTTGTTACATTTTTGCCAAAAAATCTAGACAACTTTCTTAACCCCAATTACATCTTATTTAGAAATATCAGTTGTTCTATCAAACCTAGATTAAATCATCATCTATTCTTTACTTTAAAACTTGCAAAAAAAAATTAATTAATCAAGAATACTTCATTTTTGAATATATCAGATAAAATAGGCCAATATAGCAAATTTTACAATTTATTTTATTGTTTTACGATACAAAGTCAAATAATTGAATATTAAATATATTAAAACTGATATTTTCATAAATTTTAAAATTGATTTTTAAAAAAAGATATGAAAATGAAAAGAGTTGCTTTAAGAATAAGAATGATGATAAACAATGAGAATGGATGATGATAATGACAAATTTGATAAGTGGGTGAAATAAAGTTGATAAAACAATAGTTACAAGTATTTATGAGACCGATTTGGCCCTGTAAAGACCCTTGTGGAACACCAAAATGTTGTCTTGTTCAATTTCAGATTTTAAGAACAAAGTCTTTTTTTTCAGGGGGCCTTTATGAGCTTGTAAATATTGTTTCACCAACCACTGTTATATTGCCACTAAAAGCCAGCTGATATGAAACTATATATAGATATGATGTAATATCAAGCCACACAGGTAACAGAATAAGAAAAGAAGTGAAAACTAAAGTGAAAGTACATGTATTTATGATATATTTTACAGAAATTTAACCACTGATACATATACATGTATGTCATTAAATACATCATTTACTTTTTCCATTCTAGTTTTCAAAATACATGTATAATGATTTGTACTGGAAAATTGAAAAAAATCTCAACTTACAAATTTTTATTTATTTCTATTTTATTTGCCAAAATATTCAATACAGATTTTGATTTGTCAATTCAGTTAGTTTGGATGAAAAGATGAAGAAACAAAATTCAGTGGCCAAATTTCATATAAAAACTACATTAACATCACAATTTTACAACAAAAATGTATGAATATTGAAAATCACTGAAAACAAAATATATTAAAATATTCAAAATCCTTAAAAAATTTGATTGACTCCAGTTTTAATTTTTAAAGAGAAACACCACACAAGTTAATAAAACTTACCAGTTTCTTGCGCTCGTCCGCTAATTCTTCTGATTTAGCGTTACTTGTCTCCAACTGTCTTTGTACTTCTAAAATCATGAATGAATGAAATTGAGAGAGGGAGTGAGAGAGAAATGGGGTTTAACTGCCACTCCACACAAACTACATGTAGGTCATTTTGGGGCTAACATATGGTTCAATTTTATTTCATTAATTCGCCTGCACATAGGGTTCTTTTTAGCTGTGGGACAGATGACCCTACTCCTCGTCTCGCACAAGCGGAGAATTGAAACCACACCACTTGACTCCAAAACAGAGAGAGAGAGAGAGAGGGAGAGAGAGAGAGAGAAGTTTAACGTCCACTCGACACAAACCTGGTCATTGAAGGACTAACACATGTTTCAATTTTATTTCAATAATTCGCTTACATGTAGGGGTCTTTAGCAGTGGGAGGAAACCAGAGAACCTGGAAAAAAACCCACGAGATTGGACAGGTGACCGTACTCCTTGCCACATACAACCAGGGAATTGAAACCACGCCAGTTGACTCAATGACTGACCTTATGATACAGCGCGCACATGCTAACCATTTGGTCATCCCCCCCCCACTCCACAACAGACCTTATGATCTAACCTAAACGTTAACCCACCCAGCTACGAGAGAGATTAACGTCCACAACACAAACTAGGTCATATCGGGACTAACATGTTGTTAAATTTTATTTCATAAATTTAGCAGGGGGAGGAAACCGGAGGTCGGACAGGCAACCCTACCCCTTGTCACACACAACCGGGGAATCAAAACCACGGTTTAGATCTGTACTTTAATGGGGTTGAAACCATGACTTCATAAGTACCAGGCCTTATGATCAACAATTCAGGCATAGATTCCTTGACGTTGCAGCAGGCAATGGCCCCTCCAAAGAAAATATATGACATTGTGGTATTACCTGAGTGATTTGATCTCATCGCTTTTAACTCTTCACTTAATTGATTATGATTTGATCCTTGACTTTCCATCTTTGCTTTCATTTCTACAAGATAAATATGAGATAGTCTTGCTAAGTTTTATCTGGGAGGGTAAAAACTGTTTGTTGGATTTTCAACAATTATGTATAACAAAATTTCTATATCACCACATCATTGGTGGGTAATAATCTTTAAGTGGCATTTAGAGATCGGGAAACACATTAACAGAACACAGTTTTTATGGGAAACAATCACTAGGTTTTGTTCTAAAAGCACGACGTTTCGACAAGTATCCTCTTATCGTTATTGTGCTTGATAATGATAAGAGGATACTTGTCGGAATGTCGTGCTTTTGTTTTGTTAATCATTGGTGGAGTTGAGATCCATAATATAAAGATAGGTTGCCAGGCAACGAAACATACGCCCACAGCAGCTAAATCGTCCGGGCAGTCAACAAGAGTTTTCGCATATTTTTACTTTTTTCGGTAATGAAACATTTATAATACACTAAAATCTGATTAAGAGCAACAACTCAGAAAACCATTAGAATTTGTTTGATTTTTATAAAGTTCTGCCCCATGCTAACATTTTGTATACAAAACTTTTAATATCATGGATTTAGCTGTTCCAAGTCATAAAAATTCATTGAAAATCAATATACTTGTTCCTCTCAAGATCTTAAACTCTGTGTATCAAGCTGAAGTCAATCGGATGATAACTTTAGTCTTTAGAGCGTCACAAGATTTTGCAAAGTGATCAAGGGCCATAACTTTGGCAGCAATTATCGGAAATCGTTGAAAATCAATAGGATTCTTCGTCTCATGATCCTAAACATTGTGTATAAATTTAAGGTCAATTGGATATTAACTTTGGCCTCTAGAGCGTCCACAATATTTTTTGAAGTGATCAAGGGCCATAACTCTGGCATTAATTATCGTAAATTGCTGAAAATCAATAGGCTTCTTTGTCTCATGACCTTAAACACTGTGTATAAATTTAAAGTAAATCGGATATTAACTTTGGCCTCTAGAAAGTTCACAAGATTTTCTGGCAGTAATTATCAGAAATCGCTGAAAATCAATAGGCTTCTTCGTCTCATGACCTTAAACACTGTGTATGAATTTAAAGTCATTCAGATCTTAACTTTGGCCTCTAGAGCGTTCACAAGATTTTCAAAAGTGATCAAGGGCCATAACTCTGGCAGTAATTATCGGAAATTGCTAAAAATCAATAGGCTTCTTCGTCTCATGACCTTAAACACTGTGTATAAATTTAAGATCAATCGGATATTAACTTTGGCCTCTAGAGCGTCCACAAGATTTTTTAAAGTGATCAAGGGCCATAACTCTGGCAGTAATTATCGGAAATCGCTGAAAATCAATAGGCTTCTTCATCTCATGACCTTAAACACTGTGTATAAATTTAAAGTCAATCGGATATTAACTTTAGCCTCTAGAGCGTCCACAAGCAATTGTGGACACCGGACCGACGGACGGACGGGGGCGACGACAATATATGACCACATTTAAATGTGGGCGTATAAAAATTAAAATATTCTTTCTTCAAATTAAAATAAATGGGTTTATTTTCAATCAAAATGAAGATGTCAATATTTAATGCATTGTGCTATGAGGTAAATTTTGCCCTGTCAGAAGCACTTCGGCTCACGCTAAAACATGCTACTTATGGTGTACATGGGACCTTGGATTTCCGTATCATCTGACCACTATATTTTTCCTTGCCATGCAGTCTGTTCGGCACAACTGACAAGGGCAATCATGCTCGGATATCCTGAGGAAATGGTCATCCGTTTTGAGAGTTAATGCCAGTATGATCACAGGCATTCTATCTGTGCCTATTATTTAACTTAAACTCGAAAATCACATGTACCCACCGTCGATTGCTTCTTGCATCTTCGTATTTTTAGAGTTACTGGTCTTTAATTCATCAAGCTGAAATATCAAAATGCAAATAACTAATGAATCATTTCCCAAATCGAGAAAAAAAAATTGTGTGTAAAAGTTGCAAGTGAAATCTTAAAATGTTCAAATAACTGTCCAAGTAGGGTTAAACCACACATTATCTTTTGTCTACTTTCATTTTATTTTCTCAACAAAGTCAATTAAATCACAATTTTAGTCATTAAGTTATACAATTGTCTGTAATATGCAAATACCAATAAGCAGATAAATGATCACACTAGCTATTAGATGGATTATTGTAAATCATTTAGCTTATGACACTGTAACCCAAATTTCATTTAATCTTGTGAATTTAGCATTAATTTCTTTAACATTCATTCAATATCAAATCTGTGTTTCAAAATTCTTAAAAATCGTTTTAAATCATTAAAAATCATCTAATTTGTACTTGTGTCCAGTTTAAAGCTGACCATTCAGTTTTGATAATGAGTGTCCAATTTACAAGTGTTTAATTTCTCTATCACTGTCTAAAAATAAACAAAACCAATTGATTATTGATGTATAATGACTAGGAAATTAAATACTTGTAAATTGGACACACATTATCCAAACTAATCAGTCAGCTTTAAACTAGACACAAGTACAAATTAGATGATTTTTGGTGATTTTAAACGATTTTTAAGAATTTTTAAACAAAGATTTGATATTAAACAAATGTGAAAGAAATTAGTACTAGATCCACAAGATTAAATAATACCCGGGTTACAGTGTGAAGATTGGATTAAATATATATTGAATAAAGATAGCTGGATAAAAAACAGAAAGGTTAGGAAAGTTTCAACACTTTGTAAGGAGGTTGTGAGGGGGATGGGGTGTTACTACAGATTTCTATTTTACTTTTCCCATCAAATCCTACACCTATAAAAGGATGAACATATATATGGATGGTTTTTTTTTTTAAAGAGGTAAAAGAATCTGTATTGTTCTAAAACTGCTGCAGAGTCAAAAGGTTGTTGTATCCAAGTTTTCCCAAATTGTTCAGGAGAGCCAAAGCATGCATACAGGGAGGGGGGGGGTGTTCAGATACATGTTATCTTAACAAATGACGCGTTAAAATCGTATTTATCTAGATTTTTTCATATATGGAGCCATCCGCACTAATGTATATGGCTAACCATCTAAAGTGTAAGTAAAAGTAAACTATTTACATTTTTACACAGCAAAGATTCGATGTATCTCGGAAACAGATTCTCATTTAACTGCTTGAATTTCATTGATATCACACAGGGAAGTCACAAAATTGATTTTTATTATCAAAGAAATACAGAATTTTCACTCTTTAATATTTATATTTGCTTGTTAAGGCCCTGTATACAACATTATTAACGATATCTGTAAAACCCGTTTATTGGTTTACAAATACGACAAGTTGATGAAAAGATGAGCAAGACAAGACTAGTTCTGAATTTTCGTAAAATATGTCAAATACGATTTAAACAGATAGGATTATTTGAAACAATTTCAACATTTAAAAAAGAAGTCAGCGCCACCAATAAGTGTGTTGGATCAAATATTTTCATGGGCCTCTTTTAAATCTGATTTCATATTTTGTTTTCTTAAACAGGCATTATTCAAGAGCTAAATCTGCCTATTGCAGGTCTTTCTTTAGGCCTTAGATGTTATATAAATTGTTAATTAGACATGATAAAACCATAATCAACTCTTGAAGGCATCGGATGGCCCCAATTTTAAGTAGATAAGAATAGCTCAGCCATTTATTGATTTAATTTATAAATGGAGAAGCCAGGCTAATAGTCGAATGACCAGTATGGTGGTTACAATCAATGCACACATATTGTCAAAACTACAACAATTGCAAACTTCGCTCAAAATAAAGTAATCTGAATTAAATTTTCAATATATTCATTTGATATTATCTATTTTTGAACTGCCAGTTCTTTATCTAAATCTTACATATAATGCCCCTTTAATTTAATGTTAAATTATCTGAGTACATTTTAGAGTGTGTTAATTAACCTATGAAAAATCAGATATTTTCTAGTGTTGAAACTACTATTTGGATATCCGTTAACGGATACAAAATAAGGGTTATTCGAATCATTTTACTATCCGTTTACTATTCGTTACAATATATTCTGACATCCCGTATGCTCTATCTCTATATTTACCCATTTTTCCATCTGATTACTTTGAAATTTTCCCCAATGCAATTGATCACGTACGCAGCTCTGAGCATAAATGTCAACATTATGCGTATTATTTAGTTATTTAGTGATAGTAACAAATAAAATTATTAATGCAGTGCAACGAAAACAGTAGCCTAAATAAAAAAAAATATTCATTCATTCCCTGCGCTAGTTTACGGCATACGAGTTTAGACCGTGTTTTGACTTCCCACAATGAAATTTATTCATAACGACCTAGGTCACGTATATTCCGACTTACTGATTGGTTCAATAGTAGTAGATTATTAGAATGAGATAAACGACCTTGGCGGTATAAATGGCACATGTTTTTATTTTACTTTTTTCATTCGTGTTGATTGAGCAAAATGATAAGTGGGAGGGTACGGATAACAGGAGAAGTTATACTATTCAAATTCCTTCACCTCATTGATTTTTTGGGATGTCATAGATAGTCTTAATAATTCTTCGCGGCTCAAACAATTTGCAAATCGAAAGTACAATTTCATACTCGGCATACACAGACACTCATAAACATTGAAACAAGTAAGAAATTATGAGTACCGGTATATGAACTTTTTATGGAATTTCACGTCTCCGAATTATCCGAATAGTTTTCGGATAGCCAACAAAAGAATTCGGATCACAAATCTCGATCCGATTTTCAACACTAATATTTTCCCGAAATGCAAATACAGATCTTTTGAATTTAGTGTGTAAGATATTTTTTATGTGTTTCCTTATTATTTTTTCAGTTTAATCATCCCCAGTATTCCTAATTCCTATCAAAGTGTTCAACCTGTCCTCCCCTTATATTATAGTGTGGTTTAGCCCTTACCTGTCAAAACTAAAGAACTAGAGTGGACTATGCTATATTAGAGGTAGAATTGGTTATATAAAGCTGTAGATAAATCGGAGTATATGTTCTCGTATGAAAGATGAAACGCCGAGGTAGACATGTTGTTTGTGGAACACGATGATGATGTCTAACATAATACATGATGGGTTAATGTTCGTCTTCAGTTAATATTGTTCCCAGATCGTACAGGCCAATCAACTGCGAAGGAACCAAATAAGGATGTGTTAGTTCTGTGCAGCATTGACAAAGCATTGGTGGTGTTTAACTCAATGGAAAATGCATTTCAAGATTAAAAAGAATCAAGTCAAAACTTCTTTAAGGAAATGCATAACAAACACAATCTTAAGCTTTCAAATCTCAACTTCTGAACACGAACGAATATCAATACACTATTGAGTGGTGCAGGATTGCACATTTAGATTTTGGCCACAGCAATCTGAATTTTTATTTTTGGCCACAGCAATCTGAATTTTTATTTTTGGGAAATTCATTCCAATTTTGCTAGGAATTTATTCCAGAGATAAAATAAATTAAAACTCCCAAAATAACTGGTTCTCTTCTGGAAAGCTTTTTGATCAATTTTTTAAAATTTTACTCAAATGGCTGTTTATTTACCAAGAACTCAAAATCAAATTGCTTTGGCCTAAGAATCTAATTGAAAAGCTAAATAAACGAGAAGAAAAATTCTAAACTAAGTGTTAATACAAAATACCACCAAAAATACTTTAGAAATATTATCCAAACCCTTGTTAGTAGAAAGAGAGAGAGAGAGCTAAGTACATTTATTTTAATATTTAACACTCACCACTTCGTCCAATTTATCTTGTAACTGTTTGAATTCACGATTTTTATTGGCTAACATTTCTTCTAGTTCACTAACTCGTGACGTTTTCTCGGCTAACTCCATGCCAACTTGACTAGTCTGTAAAAATATCAATCACAAAATATACAAATTTTTTTAGATAAGAACGGGAGAGGATAAACTGAGATTTTTTTCTTGTTAATTCTGGAGCAAACTGTTTAAAGAGATCACAGATACCATCACAATACAGACAGAGCAAATTTAACACCCACTCCACAAAAAAAGGTGATTTCCATTATATTTCGGAAGCAGGGCGAGGAAAACGAAGAACCCCCCAAAAACCTATCGGGTTAGGCAGACAACCCAAGATCTTGTCATATACAAACTACTTGATCACCCAACCCACTTTGTGTAGTGGAATGCCAAATCTGCCACCAGTCTTGCCCAGTACATAGGGCCTTGAAAGCAAAAAGCTTTTAATTTTTCAAATGGAGCATAAGGGTTAGGTCCTGTGTATACCATTAGCCATATGTTGAAGATCCCTTGAAAGTTAAAATCGAATTAAAAGTAATCCATAGTGCCTTTGACTGGGCAAAATGTTCCTCACAGCAAGCGGTGTGGCCAGTTAATGAGGCAGAAAAGAAGGATATTAAATTGAACCCATTTTAAATTTCATGTCTTGTTAAGTAGTGATACACACCTTTGCCCCATCGTCAATTTTACTAGCTTCATAAGATGTTATTTTCTTTTCTGCCAACGATAATTTATGCGTTACTTCTTCTAATTGGTCAAGATAGGTCAGTTGTGTTGAATCTGCTTCTTTCAGTTTTGATGATTTTTCTTCAAGTGCAGCCTAAAATTTAAAAATAAATTAATTTTTAAGATATGTTATTTCAATACAAGTCTAATTTCTAATAGGAATATCAGTTGATTCAGTATTTAAAAATTTATGATAAATTGAAATTTCTTCGATCTATGTTGTTCAAGCGTAACAAGATGCCACAATCTTTTATTGGTATTCGAGAATTTAAATCCAATTGAATCCAAGCCGAGAAATTATCTAACATTGGTATTTTGATTTTGTTTTCTTAATTAAATGTTAAATAATCAACCTGAGTGAACATTAGTGTGGATTAAGCTGTGAAAATTTGATATCTTACCGAAAATGAAAATGACACATTGATCTTTTAAGGACCATTTGTTAAATAATGAATGAAGTACTGTACCTTTAGTTTATCAAGTTCTTGTTGATATTGGTCAGCTTTGTCTTTTTCTTTCCTAAAACTTTTTTCTAAATGTTCAACTCTTGCCGACTCTTCTTCAGTACGACTCTAAAACAAAATACAACACTCAATATATATATTATATGCTACTGAATTAATATAATCTGATTCACTGTGTTGTGAGAGCCCATTATCAGGCTAAGTTTTACACCACAAGGCTATGACACATTATGATTTAAATTTCTTTTATGTGCACGCCAAGTTGTACATGAACCCCTGTTTTTTGTTCCATCCAAACGACTAGAAGCTATCCTGTAAAACTGACAAGAGGAAACCACACCTTTTTTTTTAAAAATAAGAATAACACCTGCAACCCATACTACAAATTATGCTAGGTTACAAAGGTACTATTGTTAATATTTTCAGTTTGGTTTTAAAAAGAATAGCAAAACTGAGAATTGTATTAATAATGATATTCTACATGTGAATTTGAATTATTCTAAAAAATCTGTTCCTTACCTCTAAATCATCTTTATCTATTACCTCTTCTTCTATCTGAAATTGTAAATCTTCACATTTTCTGAAATAAAACAACATAGAATTTCTATTATATCATTTTGATCACTGCTAACATTGATTAACCAGCGATTGCCATGCAAGATACGGCCTCATTTTGCAAGAGATTGATTGGGAACAAGCTAAAACAAAAAAAGGGATTTTTCGTACTATCAGTGGCCATAATCCAGGGGCCATAATATCAAAAGGAACTAAGATCTTTGATAAACATACCTTTCAAGTTTCATCAAAACTGAATAAAAATTGGGACCTCTAGAGTGTCCACAACCTTGTTATTACATACTTTTACAATATTTGCATGCGAGGGGCGGCCATTTTGTCTGGCAGTTTTGGTTGGCCTCGACGGTAAGATAACAACATCAATCTTGATTTAAATTGACCAATAAGTGCTGTTTGCAATGTCGAAGACTGTGAATGATATTGAGTTAGAGACTTGGTTTTGGAAATACATATTTTAAAAAAATGTGCAGATATCTTTAATACTTCTTACCTTTTTTCATCCTCTAATTGTCCCTTTAAACTATTATTGTCTTTTTCTAAGGCTTGTACTACAGCTCTTAATTTTAATATCTGTTCTTCCATTTCATCTTTATATCTATCTTGACCGGTACGTAATGATGTTAGCTGTATCTCCGCCTACATAATAAAACAAGGAGAGAATTGAGGTTTAACATCCACTTAACACAGACTAGGTCATCTTGGAATTAACACATGGTTCAATTTTATCTCAATAATTCGCTTGTGCGTAGGCTCCTTTAGCAGCGGGAGAAAACCGGAGGACCCGGAGAAAACCCACGAGGTTGGACAGGCGATCCTACTCCTTGTCACATACAACTGGACAATTAAAACCACGCCAGTTGACTCAATGACAGACATTATGATACACCATGCACACACTAACCTTTCGGCCATGTATAGAAAGTGGTTAGAAATTATACAGTAGTCGTTAATTGGAAGGTTTGTGATTAGCTGTAAAAGATGTCACAACTGGTGTAAGAGCGTGAGTCTTTATAACAGCCATCACTATCGAATACACAAACCTATACAATACTGGAGGTAATCATTCAATAGTCAAGGTTTTAACATCTAAGTGACTTAACACCTTTTTCATGACTACTGCCTGATTACTAACAATTTTAAATAACTAATAAACATTATGTATATAAAATGACGTCTTTGATCTGCTAGTGTCGTATATTCATTTATAAAAGTTATTTATAGCTTAGTCAACGATATCAACTTTACAGTGCAATTGGACCTCGCTTGTTCATCACAAAGGAATGACTGGGTACAGTTTCCTTGTCAGTACCCGAAGCACCACCCCTGACAAAGGAGAACCAGGCTTGAAAAATCCTGAATGCTCTTCTCGACCTATACAGGGATGAGAACTCCAGACATTCTATTAGATTGGCCAGTGCTCACAGAGACCCATTTTAATCTAAAAACAATTTTATATCACCAAAATTTAATTACATCATCAACTTGTGCAGCAGCTCTTGCAACCTCAGCTCGTTCCAGATCACGTTCTCGTAACAACTGTTCAATGTGATCTTCTTTTTCCTTCAGAGCTTTCTAAAATTATCAATAAGGACAAACAATCAGTGAAAGTATCCATTGCAAAAAATTATGTTTGAATGACCAGCCAAAATCCATTCTTTGAAAAAGAATCAAATCAAAAGTACATAGTCAAAAAACTATTCAAATTCATTAATTTGAACTTTAGTTATCACCATTTAAAGTTTACACTGGTTTCCATTGATTTCTCATCCCCATCTTCATGTATCTTAGGCAAAAAAAGTAATAATAATTTTTTGAAAAATAAAAATTTAGCCAATACTTTCTCAAGAATTCTTTTATATGGGATGTCACGTATGTGCTTACTTACAGTCTTGTGCCTAAAATTAAGTATTTTTTAGAACTGATATCTACTACTACACAATTCATGAAACAGAACTTCCAACACAATTAGAAGTGATACAACCTATATTTTAAAAGTAAGCTTTACTGTAAAAAGCCTTAAATATTACTAATGGTCGCATTGGGTAATTTATCCAGCTACCATGTCCAGTTATAAATGTGAGAATATTAAACAAAAAGATTAAGAACAAGGATTAGACCCACAAACCACAGGACTGAAAAACCCATAACCAACACAAGGAAAAGGGAGAACATCTTCATTAGCTTAATTTAATTGTGCTGCTAATCAACAAGGATCATTATTATAGGCAATAGGTAAATGTATCCCCTTCCGTCTTAAATTTACAATAAAACTATTTTATAAATCTACTAAACATAATTTCCTCAAATTTATTTTCTAAAAATCCTCAAAAGTTTTAATTTGGAAAAATATTTTTTTCTTAAATATCTAAATTTATCACAAAAAAAACCCCAACAACTTTACAGCAAGGGGAGATAATCGATAAAGGGAGGTAAGTACATGTACAACTCACCTGGAGTGCTGATGTACTGGTATTAACAGAAACAGCTCCAGGTCTTTGGGCTGCCTTGGTGTTCTATGATTAGGGGTTACAAGTTGAATATATAAGTGTTAGCATTACATATATAGATATAGAATATAGAGTAGTCATAAATATAAACAAACAAAAAAATATGTCACTTCTTCTACATGTATATGAATTTCGTGATCTAAACCTCCAGAATAACTGCCATCTATAGATATGTATTTGGCATGAGAGAGAAAAATAGGGTTTAACCTCCAATCGACACAAACTAGGTCATTTCAGGACAAACATATGGTTTAATTTCAATAATTCTCTTGCCCGTTGGGGTCTTTAGCAGTGGGAGGAAACTGGAGGACCTGGAGAAAACCCACGAGGTTGGACAGGTGACCCTACTTCTTGTCACGTACAACTGGGGAATCTAAACCACGCCGGTTGACTCAATGACAAACTTTATGATACAGCGTGCACATGCTAACCATTCGGCCATCCAACCCCCCCACCCCCTGTGGCATGAGGATTGACCAGTAATTTTGGGACCAACATCTGGTAATATACAATGCTAAGAAGGAGAATTGTGCAAGCAAAGCTGTAATACACTTCATTGAATTCCACTGTCAAGGGTTCTTGTCCATACAACTAGGGAACGTTTTCAATGTCAGGCCAGCAAAGTTCGAAACTAGAAAATATTAATCCATAATCCAATACCTTTATGGTTATACATGTACCATCCCTTCCCCACACCTACCCCACCATTGCACAGGAGAAGTGACATACTTTTTTAGACTTTATATTGATTAAAATTAAACACATTATTTAAATAGATACTAATGGTTACAGAGAAGGAATAATTAATTTCATATATTGTCACACTTTACATCTTTGACCACTAAAATAAGTTATATATTTGACTCATTGTGTTAATTACTGTCATTTAGATTATAAAAATGACCGATTCTTTAAATGTATTTTATTGTATGATTTTTTAAAAGTATTTATTAACATTTTTAAAAAGCATGAGACAAAGTAGGTTTAATAAATAATGGTATAAAAATTTGTAACCTTGATTAAATAACGTAATAAAATTTATAACGATAATTAGTCTTAATCACTCCAGCCGCCTTCGACAACAAATATTAGTTTGGACAATAGTCACCATTGTGTGTATGTATAAATGTAACCAGCTGTATAGCAATCTATGTGTACAGCTAAAACAATGACTACTAGAAAAAATAATGTTCTCATTCCACCAGTAGACAATGCGAATATCAGCACTTTAATTGCATTTAAAATACAGATGTGACGTCATGCTTTGATGTTGGCGTACCATTATTGCAAATAATGGTACAGGCAATGTGCCAAGTGTACAATATTTATACTAGTTGAAATATTGGACCCGCGTGATGTATTTCATTGAAATGCAAGTGCTAGATTTTAAGTTGTTTAATGGTCTCGTGGCAAGACATTGCGTAATATGTGCAATATCAATATATTACTTAATGTCTCGCCCTCGCCTATTAAACTACACATATATGACACACGGGAAACCCGTTTATCCAGACCCACATTTGTGGCAGTTGAAGCCATTGAGACTTTATTTTGAACTAACATGCATATTAAACTACATGTATAAATATATTTGAAGTGAATAAGATAAAACTATATTAAAGAACAAGAGAGATCATGCTATTAGCATTAACTATTGTTAAAAACTATTTAACTATGCATACATTTTTATTATTATTATTTTAAAGCTTCAAGTTTTACTGTGTAGTTGGAATTTAATGAATGTTACCCTTTAAGGATATGAAAAACGAAAGCGTTCATTCGAAAAAATGCTTTCTTCTACTTTTAAAATTGTGTCGGCAGATTAAAGCCAATTACTAGGTATACTGTATCACTACATATACATACATGTAACATATCTGATTTATTTTTACCCTATTTTAAGAGATTCTGCTCAGTTCTTGCCACAATCAATTATATTCAATCGCATATTGCATAAGCAATGTTGTAAAAAATACACACCTACTTTTATACATACCTCAAATGAAGGTCTATTTTTGTAAGTATCTCAAATTTAAGGTCAATTTTAGTAAGCATCTCAAATTTAATGTAAATTTTTGTATCCAAATATTAAGGCTCAAAGTCCTTATTTTTTTAAGTATCTTAAAATTGAAGGCCTATTTTTGTAAAGGTATCCCAATTTAATGGCCAACTTTTGTTAGTATCTCTACTAAGGCCTACTTTTGTACGTACACATCTCAGAATAATTGTACTAGATATTAACTCATAACTCTGGTTTTAACATCCTACTTTTAAATATGACTATAACATTGGGTATTAATGGAGTTCGAGAAGAAGCAGTATATAACATTAACATTTTTAATATATCATGCTTGTTATTATAACTGGTGTATATAAATTAAAATATATAGGGGTTATTTGATATAGGTATAATAGAGGGTTTAATTTAAACAGGTGTTATTTCAAGGTGAATATAACGAATTATAACTTGGTGGTAACAACATGCCGCTTACTAATGTCATATATCCATTATGTTATTACATACACGCTATATAAAATTACTTGATACAGAGAAAAGCTGTGATCTGAGGGACATTGAAAACAGACCGACATTCAACATTTGATTATTATTCTGGTTTTATGAAAGAAATGTATATGGGTTGTGTGTAAATGAACTGTTCAAGAAAATATTACTTTTCGATGTTAAGACAGATGATTTTCTTTAAAACTACCATATGAAGAGTCCCGGGGAAGAACGATCTAAGTCACTTTTTCAACGAACCCCGGTTAATGGCGCCATGTGGTAGCAAATTGTATAAGCTTTCTGTGGAACAATCAATTTCAGGTAAAAAAAACAATCGGAGTCGCATCAAACCAAGGCCCTTCTGAAATGGCCTCCCGGACAAATACAAGTCCATCGTATTTATTTGACCTTAATTTGGCTGAAAAGTGGAAGTCAGTTTTTGTACTGGTAATTATGATTTGTATTAAACATCATTTTGAAGTCGTAATTAAACCCACTCGTTGTTCTGTTCGCGTCAAGCATTCTCGTCTAAAAGTCTGTTTTGCCTTTTATGTGAAAAGACAAAAATGTGACTTAGATCGTTCTTCCCCTGGACTCTTCATATGTTATCCGCAAATGACTCAACACACTTTCAGTCAATGCTTTCCATCTTGATCGACCATCAACAGGATCCAGACGAAAGTAACTACTCAGTTAATAAGCCAGTGCAATACTCACTGAGCCAACTTAGCTCCAAATTTTGACCAGTAAAGAATATTTTGTGAACAGTTCATTCATCTACAAGCATGAATTAAATACAAGAGTTTATACTGATGTTTTATTTAAATTGACTATTATCTACGTTCTGTCTAAATGTTTTATACTAGATAGATAATTTATTGTCTAATTCACTGTAACCCGGGTATCATTTAATCTTGTGTATCTAGCCTTAATTCCTTTCACAATTGTTTAATATCAAATATTCGTTAAAAGTTCGTAAAAATCATTTTAGATAGGTTGCCAGGCAACGAAACATACGCCCACAGCAGCTATATCGTCCGGGCTGTCAACAAGAGTTGTCACATATTTTTACTTTTTTCGGTAATGAAACATTTATAATACATTAAAATCTGATTAAGAGTACACATTAAGTAATTATCAGAAAACCATTAGAATTTGTTTGGTTTTTATAAAGTTCTACCCCATGCTAACGTTTAGTATACAAAACTTTTAACATCATGGATTTAGCTGTTCCAGTCATAAAGATTCTTGAAAATCAATATACTTGTTTGTCTCAAGATCTTAAACACTGTGTATAAATTTAAAGTCAATCAGATATTAACTTTAGCCTCTAGAGTGTCCACAAGATTTTTCAAAGTGATCAAGGGCCATAACTCTGGCAGTAATTATCGGAAATCGCTGAAAATCAATAGACTTCTTCGTCTCATGACCTTAAACACTGTGTATACATTTAAAATTAATCGGATATTAACTTTAGCCTCTAGAGCGTCCACAAGATTTTTCAAAGTGATCAAGGGCCATAACTCTGGCAGTAATTATCGGAAATCGCTGAAAATCAATGGCTTCTTCGTCTCATGACTTTATACACTGTGTATAAATTTAAAGTCAATCGGATATTAACTTTGACCTCTAGAGCGTTCACAAGATTTTTTGAAGTGATCAAGGGCCATAACTCTGACAGTAATTATCGAAAATCGCTTCTTCGTCTCATGACCCTAAACACTGTGTATAAATTTAAAGTCAATCAGATATTAACTTTAGCCTATAGAGCGTCCACAAGCAATTGTGGACGCTGGACCGACGGACGGGGGCGACAACAATATACAACCCCATTTCAATGTGGGCGTATAAAAATAACTCAAAATCATCTAATTTTTACTAGTGTTTAGTTTAAAGCTGACTGATTAATTTTGATAATGAGTGTCCAATTAACAAAGTGTTTAATTTCCTGACCACTGTTCAAAAATTAATCATTATACATCAATAACCAATTGGGTTGTTTATTTTCTTACAGTGAACAAGAAATTAAACGCTTGTAAATTGGACACTCTTTATCGAAACTGAATGGTCAGCTTTAAACTGGACATAAGTACAAATTAGATGATTTTTGGTGATTTTAAACCATTTTTACTAATTTTTAAACAAAGATTTGATATTGAATGAATGTGAAAGAAATTAGTGCTAGATACACAAGATTAAATCACACCCAGGTAACAGTGTAATCTTCTAAGGTTTTATCTATGTATGATTCTAAATGAATTTAGATTAATATTTATTGAATGTCGGTCGGTTTATATTTTAGTGACAAAATGAGGCTATTTATACATTTGGTGATCAGATCGAGTCGATTTTAGCTTGGGACATCAATCAAAAAACAACACCTATATATAATGAGGACAGAAGCGTGATCAAAAGGTCAAAAGTCAAGTGTCGACATTTCAATTTCACAAGACGATGAAAATACTTGAATAGAGTGTAAACTAAAAAAAATGGCTGCATCAGTAAGCCGGCAAGTACCTTGTTTCCGAGTGTGGAGACCCCGAGTCTTACCCGACTTCGTGAAACGCTGGATACGGACGAACTGATGGAACTAATGGAGTCCTGACTACCACTTCGCTCACGTGTTCCGCGTAAACTTGTATTCAACGATCTAGTCATCTGATTTGGTATATAATTGGCAGTAATTTTCATCACTTTGTGCACTGGAGCAAATAATCCAAACATCGGCTTGCATTCAAAATACCTGAAAAAAAAAGTTCGAAAGTATTGATTTTATTCATTCAGAAATGTAAAATAAGAAGAAAATGGGCGAGGGTCACAGAGACTGACAATTTTACTTTACACTTGATACATGTAACTTGGGGCAATGTTTGAAAATAACAAGAGAATCATGTTAGAAACGCAGCCTATTAATTAACTAGTCGTGGTACAATCACACATTATTTATTGAACAACTGGGTGTATCAAATGAAGTCAAGATTATCAGGTCTCCTTAGCTAATATTTTTCAATAACTATGCGATATACTACGTTAAGAGTATTCATCAATCTGATTAAAATACAGATCTATATTTTTTCTTTCTTTTTTATACTTTCAATGGCCTCTACTACATGAAGATCTGACCAGTTGTAGTGGCAGGTCGCATTGGGTCATACGAGTGGCTTTTGACCCTATCATGTCAGACATTTGATTAACCAATCAGCATTGATGTTTCTAGTGGAATACCCACAGTTCTGTGCATCACATGCCAAGAACTCGTTGCAAAAGACCATTTCATTGGCTAATCCCTCACATCAATCTGAACGCCAGTTATATAACAACTCTTCCAGATCCTAGTGTAGTAAAGACAACTAAAATGAAATTTTGAACTATAAAGAACGAAACAAAATAGAATCTGTGTTTTAATCAGATTGGATTATTCATCAGTGTGTGACAGTTTGTCAGATACAGCTGGACCTTAATTATCAAGTTCTATGGACGATTCTAACCTTTTTCCTGCGACAGCACCATCATTTTTACCCATCTGTTCATCCAACTCAACACCAGCCCAATCACCTTTAGCGAACTCTGTCTCTCCAACAAATCGTAGTACACCGGTCTTCGATCCACTCACCAGAACCCGATCACCAATCTTAACCCCTGCTGTCCTTCCAGGGGCCGGGGTCGATGTGGCTTTAGGCACTGCTGCTGAGATTGAATTATTGAGACTTGAGGAAGACGCCGAGGTAGTTTTACTAGATGTACCTAGTCGAGATAGGGGTCGATGTGGTGTGCTCATGGGCAAAGCTCCATTCGTCATCCCAGATGAATCCCCAGCAGAATCTCCAGGTTTTGGTGTCGAAGGTGGAACTGACATTGGTTGTCGAAACAACTTACTAACGCGTGAAAAAACACCCTTCATCGGTTCACACTGAAAGTACTTAATGCCATTAATGGAGCCGTCATTTTTTCCTGTTGGCTGATCAAGAACAATACCCGCCCAATCTCCGGGAGCAAACTTTGTCTCTCCAATAAATGCAATTCTTCCCGGTTTTGTTCCTCCCACCCACACACGATCACCGATTTTAAAATCATCTGTAGAGTGGGTATCCGATGTACATTCAGGGCCTACAGAAAAATATACAAAAATAAATCAATATTTGTTTAGCAAACATTTTCAAAATTTGCTAAAAAATTAACTAAGAAAAAGAAAACGTAACTGTCTGAAATTACTTGAAGTTTATCTGTGTTACAGTTATTACAGATCAATACAGATCCATACTCCTGAATCACATGCATCAGAACAAATTTCTATTGAATACTCTTTTCCCTGGAGGTAGGCCATTAACTTCCATTATCAAATTGAGCATTATTTCATGTTGGTATACAGAGGTCTTAAATACAATGTTTTTAATACTGTATATGATAACAATAAATACTCTAGAAGTATGTCACAATATATTATTCCGCTTATACATTAAAGATTTTTACCATAAATGGTCAAACATGCACCGGTATATGAAGAAATATAAAATAAATAGATATAATATGCGTAATTTTATCTATTATAATAAATGTATAATCAAAATACAGATGTGACCTCATCCTTGGTGTAGCAACATGCCAGTCGTAAATTATTTAAACTAGAAGAAATGCATGTGTAGGATAGTGTATATATTTGAAGTTGTTTAATGGTCTTGAGCAAGACAATGAGTGATATATTGATACTAATGTCCTCAAGTATCGGGTCTCACTTTTGACCATTAAACCCCACCATACATGTGATAAGTATCATAAAACACAACATGAAAACTTATAAACTAATAAATACAATAACTAGAAAATTACATGTATAACATAACCATCTACATGCAATTATTCAGAAATCCATTTTCTTTAACCCTTTAGCGCTTAGACTTCCTGAAACCGTTCTATCTAGGGCTTCTTAGAGCACCTGTCAGGTGAAAAGCTGCGACGCAAGCCAAATGTTCCAATAATACAGAAATCTATTCGCATATCTCTGCTGATCTGAGGTGATCTGAGGAACAATAGTTTTGGTCTTTTCAGGAATGTACCGGCAGTCCTTCACGTTTAAGGAGCGCTTTCGCTCTTGCACCTCCCGACGCACCTCGACTTAACTTTGGGAAAGTCATTAAATACACTCGCAAATTAGCTAAATCGCTCTCCTAAATATTTAGATTCATAAACTACCGTACTTGCAGTTTTTGTTTATTTTTAAAACTGCATATGTTTGAGTATAATGACCTCCTCCGAGCAATGAACGTTACCATGGTAAAACTAAGGCTCCCATAATTATTCACCAAATATATTGAATGCTGATGTAAGGCTCGTTTTAATTGGATAGAAGTCTAAAATCAGCCAATAGAATTGACAGCCTAATATGTCGCCCGATGCTGATGGAGAATATCCGCAGGAATGATAGAATGGCACGTCTAATAATAACATTACGTTGTTTAAAATGTTTTCATGTACCTCTTGTCCTATTGGCAGTGTGTATTAGAATCAATACCTCTGGAAATGATCAGAACTGTCAACTATGCAACGTTTTTAAATTGGAATTACTGGAGGGCAAATGGCTGGCCCCGAGTTCACAAAACATTCTCAGACTAAAGTTACGAATTTACTCAAAATTGTTTGCCTTATTTTAACTAAAATATAGCCCTTTATAAAACTTTTGTTGTTTTAATGTAAAAAAATACATCAATAAGACACTATGTGCAAAGTTTTGTTTCTGAATCAAAAATATTTCTAATAAATAGTGATTAAAAGTTGAGTAAATTCTTAACTTAAGTCTGAGAATGCTTTGTGAACTCGGGGCCTGGAGTTTTTTTTACGGCTCAAGCACCATTTTGTAAACGTGAACGACTGTACCGGTATTCTCTAATTTCCTTCAAGGAACTGGTATCTATCTATCCTAATATTTGTGACTGTCGTTTGTCTGTCTGTTTGGGGTTGGCGGCTACACTAGGTCTGCCCCGAGTCTGAAATTTGGGGTATAGGGGTAGCTCGGACCGGGGAGTAACATGCCAGGTGGCGTTAGTCTACCACTTCCGGTTTCGGGGTAATGACCCGCGAGCGAAGCCGGGCATTCTTCTAGTAGTCAATATTTACATGTACTAAGTGCTAAAGGGTTAAATTAAAATGTCTAAAGATAGGTTGCCAGGTAACAAAACATACGCCCAGAGCAGCTAAATCGTCCGAGCAGTCAACAAGGGTTGTCACATATTTAATCGTTTGTAGGTAATGGAAGGAATCTGAAGATAATTTCATACAGATCAGATTATAATTTTCGTGAAAAATTGTTGAAATTTGACAGCTTTTTTTGTTTTACTAATTTTTAAATATAAATTTCATACAGATCTGATGATGACTTTTGTCGTTCGAGCGTTCACAAGGTTCAAGAAAGTGAAACAAGGGACATAAATCCCGGAAATTGAAATTAAATAGGCTTCTTCATCTCAGTAATGTAAACAACAAATCAATTTCAAAACAATCAGATGATAAATGTAGTCTGTAGAGTGTTCACAAGAAAGTGTGGACGATAAACCAACGGCAATATATGGCCACATTTCCATGTGGGCGTATAAAAAGGGGTCCTAGATAAAAAGTCATGAAATTAAACAGTTATATATTCCTCATTATGTTTTGTTTTTTTTAAGAAAAAAACTAATTTAAAATTTTTGTCAAGATATACATAAGTTACTTCTTTGGTGCTTAAATGTGAGGCTTGTCATGGTTGGAAATATTTGCAATAAAATGAAAAGTAATTGAAAAATAATTACATTTTCAATACTCATTACTTTCAAAATCTTTTACTATTCATATTTACAAAATCAGAATGTGTAAACCATTACCATTACCCCAGACCTGTTTTCTAATGTTTTTTGTAAGTAAAAGCTTATAATATATACAATGTATACACATTGATACCATACCACTCAAAATAAAAACATGGCTACCAATAATAGTTCTTCGGAGAGGTAGTAAAAATACATATTTACCAGCAGAGAAACCCTTCATAACGACCCAATACCAAAATCAAATTGATAGCCATTACATTATCCAATTATAAAATACCTCAAACGTCCCAAATTATTTTATGGCTAAATATACTTGTATACCTCGTAAACTTTGAACTGCTGTCTTGGCGTAACGCTCAGCTTCGTCTGCTGAGAGACCAGCTGCTCGAGCACTTTTAGCTAATGCACCTAAATAAATATATAGGATGATAACATATATACATGCAGCAAGCGGGAAGCAGGGTGTGGAAGGGTGTTAGATGAATCAGGGAAGTGGGATGATGCACGCTCTTCTAGGACAGTTGTCACTTATAATAAGTGTTATTATGTTAATAGTCTACCTTCACATAAGACAGTCATTTTTTTTTAAGGTGAGCATTCGCTCTCAAGCACCTGCTGCTCACCAGAATGTCGACCGACGGGAGTTTTTTTCCCCTCTCCTTAAAATTGAAAATCGCTCCCCTTTACAAAGTCATGGGGGGTTTATTATCATATATGAAACCAGGAATGACCCCACTAACATGCAGTTATTGATCTTCAGAACCATTTCCCATACACACAACTAATCACTCTCCTTAACCCCTTAACTGCGTAGTTTTTAAAACGTTAACCACCCCCTATTGCGTAATTAATTTGACGAAAAACGTCATTTTTTGGCCTATTTCTTCCTGAATACAAATTTTAGTGGTCTAATACCATATTAAAACTAACAGTAAATAGAGTTGTCTCCCTTCAATTAGATTTCCTCGACCAGGCGTAATATAACGTCCTACACATGCTGCTATCGTGTTCGAAGAATAGGTTGGGGAAAATACCTCCAGGGCGTTATATTACGTCCTACACACGGTGAGTGGCAGTTGTCCAGGATGTTATATACATGTAACGCCATACGCGGTTAACAGGTTAAAGGACAATATTGGTGCCAGTCATTATCACATGTGATAGAGCTGGTTAAACACATTCCAAATATAAATTTAAACACAGAGATTATTGCTACGATAGCTGAGTAATACAGGTTTCCTGAATCGGAAGTCCGTACATTCCCTTGTTTATATTCATTCTATACCTTATAAAAACATGGTAATGCACAGACTTTTTCTGTTTTTCTTTCGTGTTCTCTTATCTAGTGGCAGTCAATTCTTTTTACAGTCTCACACAACAACTTTTGGTCTTGGAAGGAATTATTAGTGAGCAGAAATTCGGCCGTGTATCTGTTATCACTCGTCACATCAGTCAGTTATATAAAGGTATGACTTGTGTTTTCCTTTGGCGTTCGTCACTTCCGATTCAGGAAACCAGTATTACTCAGCTATCATAGCAATGATCTCTGTGTTAAAATTATATATGGAACGAGTTTAATTAGTTCAATCACATATATGTGATAATGACCGACATCAATATTGTCCTTTAATATCAGATCACTCTCCTTAATTTCAAAATCATTCTTCTTTTTTTCGGCTCTGCTCCAAAATACAAACACCAACAACTGATAAAGACAATTCTACGAAATACAGAGAGAGAGAGAGAGAAATGGGGTTTAATGTCCACGACACAAATTAGGTCATTTCGGGACTAACATATGGTTTAATTTTATTTCAATAATTCGCTTGCGTGTAGGGGTCTTTAGCAGTGGGAGGAAACCGGAGGACCCGGAGAAAACCCACGAGGTTGGACAGGCGACCCTCCTCCTTGTCACGTACAACTGGGGATTCGAAACCACGGCAGTCGACTCAATAACAGACTTTATGATACTGCGCGCGCACGCTAACCATTCAGCCATCCAACCCCCCCTACGAAATACAATTACTGTTTATAAGAGAGAGAAATGGGGTTTAACGTCCACTCTCCTCAAACTACATGTAAGTCATTTCGGGACTAAATAAGATATATGGTTCAATTTTTTTATTTCTATAATTCACTTGCACATAGAGGTCATAAGCACTGCGGGGCGGGGGGACCAGAGGACCTGGTAGAAAAAAACGGGAGGTTGGACATGCTGGGAATCAAAGCCACGCCACTGGGAGTCAATGACAGTCCTTATGGTTTCATGCGCGTGCATTACTAGAGACAAGAGAATCCTAGTGAAAATGTCACTCAGTAATAAGCAGTAATTGTATTCCACAGAAGTGTAATTCCCGTTCAATTACCGTACTAAACGCCATTGACACAATTTTGCTTTAACACTCTTACAGATTATATAAGTAAAACAACAATAGTAATGAGAAAGACACAAACTAGGTCATTTCGGGACTAACACATGGTTCAATTTTATTTCAATAATCCGCTTGCACGTAGCGGTCTTTAGCACTAGCAGTGGAAGGAAAGCGGAGGACCCGGAGAAAACCCACGAGGTTGGACAGGCGACCCTACTCCTTGTCACGTAAAACCAGGGAATCGAAAACACACCAGTTGACTCAATGACAGTCATTATGATACAACGCGCACATGCTAACCAATTGGCCATCCACACCCCCTCAACAGTAACGATTTAACTTCATTTCTCAATTGTGATTGGTTGGTGCATTGTTCAATATGCACCAATCATAATCAAAATATGAAATCAGTCCCTAAATAAGGTGTAAGGTAGGAACACAATGTATGACAACTGTCCCAGGCGAGATTGGGTGATAGAATAATGTGTTATATATATATATATATATATTTTTTTTTTTCTCTGACATCCAGACTAAAAATCACATCCTTACCACAGTGTCAGTGACTGGATGACAGAGAGAGAGCAGCAGGGTCAGGGAGGATATGTTCAGACACAAACCACCTTAATTACAATTCCTTGTATCATTATTGTTTTTGATAACAACATCTTTATAACCAAATTGTATTTTTGTTTTTTAACAGTAAAAATTTTGTTTCATGTTAAAGATTACACTGATACCTGGGTATCATTTATTCTTGGGTATCTAGGACTAGTTTCTTTCACATTCGTTTAATATCAAATCTTTATTTAAAAACTCGTACAAATTCGATGAAATTTGGTGATTTTAAATTACTAATTTTTTAACAAAGATTTGATACTGAATGAATGTGAAAGAAATTAGTGCTAAATACACAAGATTAAATGATACCCAGGTTACAGTGTTACTTCCTTCGAGTTACAGCTTTTTTAAAATTATTTTTTGATATAAAAGCCATTGCCAGGTAGAATTAAAGTGGTTTTTATCAGAAGAATATTAACACATTAAAGCCACTGATCATCATTCACATTTTAAAAAAATATCAAATTTATCACAGCTTATCCACACTAAATTGTACTCAGATTGATTATTTAAAGTAGCTATGTCTCTAACTCAATATCATCCAAAATCTTCAACATTGAAAACACGGTTTATTTGTCAAATTAAATCAACATTGATGTTGTGATCTTACCGGAATAAGATGGGCGTTTGATATCCAATATTTAAGACAAAATAAACATTTTGCCATTGGTACACGAATCAGGTACCATAATGCGCTTCAGCCCCAGTTGTAAAAAGAGACTCGAGGGACGAGGCAAGACACATTGCACCAATACGAACGGCGTATGTAGACTGGAATAACCAGACGCTAGAAATTTGCACTCGATTGAGACTGCTGGCTTATTTAGCCGAACATAACTGATTTGAAATTGGAGTAAAAACGGAAACCATTGAATGTAAATCAGTTTATATACATTCATATTACAGTATTATATGCGCTGCGACCCACTTTTGTCAATTTCTAGGTCCCAAATGTTAGCGATTTAGCTCCTTTAAAGTTGTCTTCAGACGTACAACATGGGTGATTTGATAATATGGACTAAAAACACAATCAAACTAATTTGCTCCAACTCCCTCTCAAAACATTGTATTCTTGGGGAAATATTCCATGCTAAAAAAAAATCTATTTAAAGTAAAGAAGTCATGTTTGTGTCACCACCAAGCCGAAGGAGAATTCATTGCATATAAAAGATGACGTTGTCTTTACCATAAATATCGAAGCCTAAGTAAATTCTGGGATTATCCCCTGCCCCCAGAATCTGTTGTACGTTTAATAGGTCGCTCATTTTTTCCATGTTCGCTTACAATCATGTTTATCAACATATACACATACATTAAGGGCTTTCTATGAAAAGAGAGGTCAGACAATCTATTCTATGCATGCAACCTTTGACGTCACTCGAGCAGACATCCCTAATCGTCAGTCCGCAAATTAGTGAGACCCTTACATTTTTGTACTGTGAGGCTTGACCAAACACTTTTTGGTTGCACTAGCTTATCATCAGCTGCAAAATTTTCAAATCATCATATTGGAACAGCGATAGATATATTACTTTTCGAGATTCAACTTCTGCAATATTTTAGCTTCCAAGGGATTCAAAGCCCCTAATACATGATGATCAATGGCTTTAATAATTTAATGCAGGGGCTAATTTATGACATTAGTACTTAATTTACTTTAAAACATTCAAAATGTACTAAAATTAATTTACCATTCACTTCTGAACAACATTTAATAAATAAAGAAAACAAATAAAACATAAACAATTAGTTACTTGTATGTTTAAAAGAATAATCATTCAATTCAATAAAATAAATATAAATATAATACTGTATTGTATGCATACCAAGAACGACATAAAACATAGTTAATGCAGCAAGAACGGAGATCTAGCCTATAGCAGGCAAAGCTTACTAGCATGAATATTTGATGATAAAGTTGCGACAAATTCATATTGAAACATCATTTTAAGGATCATTTGTTTATGATTGATGAGTGAATAAAATATTTGTGGTTTCCTTAATATGACAAAAACAAAAATTTGTGTTGAATAAGGAAATTGGTGACACTATAGTAGCTCGTTTTAGCTGTGGCATTATCTGATTTTTAGTGCCACATTAGAAAGATCCTAATTTCGACTAGCCTTCTCTAAGACTTAATGTAAAAATAGATTTTGAAGTGAGTCAAAAGCCCAATGATAAGGAATAGAGGATGGTAGATAAATCCGTCTCAAGGTGACAGGAATGATATGATGGAAACTGTATAATTCATAGGAAGATGGTTTGAATATATTGGGACAGTGCACTAAAAGAAAAAAAAAACAATAGACCAAACATGTTGTACTGACATGTATTTCAGTGTTTCAGGAAATTTGGTCGTCAACTGCAGCTCTAACAAGACAATTTTCATGCTACAATTTCACACACAGAATAGAAAATTTTCACTTCAACTTACTTTGTGGCCTTGACCCCGAGGCAGATGCAGCTGCTTTTTGTGGAAGGCCTGAAGTGCGTCCGATCTTTGAAGGGGCTTTTAACCCTGTTGGCCGTGGCAAACTCATTTCAACGTCTTAATAAATTTCCTCTTCTAATTATCTGTAAATACAAGATGGACGTACATGTAATTATTAACACATAATTTCACTTAAATTGTTTTCCACATATTTTTCTATCCATTCAATTTTAGAGATGAGAAATTAACAAACACCAAAACATCTAAGTGAATCTTTCCTACTAGGTGCATCTCACATTTCGTACAATGCACGTGCATGCTGTTTCTCCCAATTTCCTACATGGATCAAGAATTTCCTACATGTACATGTAAATTTTCCTAGGTGGATCCTGCTTTTCGTAACGTAGGTGCATTAAATTTTGCCAAGATGCATCCCACTCTTTCTGCAATGCAGTCTTTCCTAGATGGATCACATTTTTCCTACATTTCCTAGGTGGATCAAGAATTTCCTACATGTAGGTGGATCCAGCATTAAATTTTCCTAGGTAAATCCTGCTATTCCTAATGTAGGCGCATCAAATTTTGCCAAGATGCATCCCATTTTTCCTACAATGCAGTCTTTCCTAGATGGATCACATTTTTCCTTTATTTCCTAGGTGGATCAAGTATTTCCTACATGCACATGTGGGTGGATCAAGCATCAAATTTTCCCAGGTGGATCCTACTTTTCGTAATGTAGGTGCATCAAATTTGCCAAGATGCATCCCGAGGTGGATCACATTTTTCCTACATGTACATGTAGGTGAATCTGACATTTCCTGGATGACCTGTGCATCTCTCTTTTCATACAATATACAATCATTCAACTTTTCGTTTTTCCAAAATTCCTTTACAATCTCTACATACATTCCGTCAATGTAAGGCTTACTGTTAACTATGTTTTTCTGTCAGAAAATGTTGAAAGAATGTTTAAACTGGGTGGTAAAGTTGTAAGAATAAATGCCAAGTTTATATAATACTAAAACGACATGTCGATATCTTGTGTTACATCAAATAGTATGACAACATTACTTCTATTCTTAGAACAAGATACAGTGTTACAGAGAGAGAGAGAGAGAAAGAGAGAGAGTTTCCTTAATTTGTATGTGAGCAGGACACTTTAATAGAGAATAGTGGGACAAAACTCAGACCTGTAGCAAACATTTAAAATACAGTGTCTGTTCCTTTCACAAAGTAATAAATTAAAAGACCACTTGCATCCATCTCTGGGAGCTGTGGTGACTAAGTGCGTGAGATGTTGGCTTGCTAGCCTGGAGGTCCCATGTTCAATCCTGGTGTTGACCAAGAAAGTTTAATCAGGATTTTCCAGTGTGGTTGCCCCCCTGTCAATGGTGCCGGATGAGAGAGACACAAACTAGGTCATTTCGGGACTAACACATGGTTCAATTTTATTTCATTAATTCGCTTGCGTGTAGGGGTCTTCAGCAGTGAGAGGAAACTGGAGGACTCGGAGAAAACCCATGAGGTTGGACAGGCGACCCTACTCCTTGTCACGTACAACTCGTGATTCGAAACCAGGCAAGTTGACTCAATGACAGGCCGTATGATACAGCACGCACGTGTGGTGCTGGATGAGGGAACTGCAAAGGACAATGTATAGTCATTCAGATGGGATAAAAAAAACAAGGACTCGTGTACACATGTGCACATAAAAGAACCCTTGACCGTTTGAATTCAAAATGAGAATAGGCTGTAGTACCATTGTCTTGGCAAAATCTTACTCATAGTACACTGTATGGTGTGAGCTCATCTCTATTAGCCTGGAGCAGAACATCCATTATACATGTAGTGTTTAATAGAGGTCTGGTTAATTAGTTCAAACATACAAATCCAATTAAATATTCTAACGTTCGTGTTTCTAATTATTGGCTTAGTATAATATATATCTGGTGACCTACTTTCAGATTTTTTCTATTCAGTGTTATTGTAACATTTACCTGTTGTCCTCACCTCGACTAACAGGTTTACCCCAAGTCAACAAAGGGCAGGTAAATACATCAGTGTGTTGTTAATTAGCAACTCAAATGTCAGTATTACAGGATGTAAAACAGTCACCCACTCAACTCATCTCATCCTTCATAGATATACACATCAATTACGTGTAATCCTAATAATGAATTTTAAGCAACATGATTCAGGAGCAGCTGCAGGATTTTGACACAAACTAGGTCATTTTAGGACTATTTGTTTGTGCTATGAGCACGTTTTGTGGATTTAGCAATATAATAAATGGACATATTATTATGATTAACTATTCTTAAAGATGCATTATGCAAGAGCTAAATCTTTCTTTAGGCCTGAAATGTTATCTAAATTATTAATTAGAGATTAATTAACTTATCCAGACTATAATCAAGTCTTGATGTCATCACTAGCCTGCAGTATTTACTGGATCAGAATCCGATTTGCTGCTCAACTTTCATTCATGATTTAATAATGAAATGGATAATCAAGACTATGTTTTTTATCGTAGCAACTTTAGTAACGATGATCGAGGCTAGGTCGAAAATTCAATTGCTAAATTCTCGGTTTAGAGTGGATCAATTTGACTGAAATTTTCAGCAAATTCCCTTTACATTATCTAGTTTTTAACTATTATAGTGAGAACGGCCAGTTCTTTAATCTCTGATAATGCATCTTCAAATAACAAAAATGAAAACAGAATATACAACAAATGATATTTGCAGCTTCAACATAGTTTCCCCCCCCCCCCCCCCAAATCTTCAACTACTTGTTAATACTTACATCTTTAATCTGTTATTATTCTGTGATGACATTAAATTTACAGTATTTTTACATATTACATCATTTCCTGAAAAATTCAACAAGAAAACATCTTTAACATGTGATATATAAACTAGCATCTTGTCTTTATCTTGGTTTCTTATCTTTAAACATACATGTAACTTGGCAGCCACACACATTCTATATGAAAGCAGCTATATGTTTTAGCCTACATGTAAATATTATTGCACTCATGTCAATTCATTATGGAATGATTTGGGTTAACTTCTTAATTTTATTGCACCAACTGGCTAATGATTTGAAACTTTGTTTAACATCATACTATTCAGCACCAATTTAGCGAAGGCAAGCATACACCCATCTTCAATAGAAGGCTTGATCTCGCCTTAACTACGTACATCTTATCAAGTTAGAAATTGTAAAACTCGCGATCGTGGCATACACCATGCAGTGTGCTATGAGGGAGATTTTCCCTGGATAGCGGCGCTACGGCCTGTTTTTATATCGAATTCCAACTGTCAAGGCTTAGGTTCTTTTACGTGCATGACAATGTGCACACAGGTCATTAAACTATAACACATACTTATGGAAGAAAAATTATGGATTTATTAAGGCGTCGTTTTGAAGAGTATTCTCTCCACGTTTTCAAGCAAGTAGAGTAACAAATGTGTAGGGCAATCATGTCTGAGTGAACCCAAGACCCCTAGGCCAGCAAGTGAGCATCTAACTCACTAAACAACCACGGCTCCCTGGATCCGAGAGAGAGAGAAATGGGGTTTAACGTCCACTCGACACAAACTAGGTCATTTCGAGACTAACATATGGTTTAATTTTATTTCAATAATTCTCTTGCGCGTAGGGGTCTTTAGCAGTGGGAGGAAACCAGAGGACCCGGAGAAAACCCACGAGATTGGACAGGCGACCCTGCTCCTTGTCACGTACAACCGGGGAATCAAAACCACGTCCCTGGATACACATACAAGCCTAAACAGTTAAGATAATACATGAAGTATATTAAGCTTACCATAGTGAGTGAGTAAGAGTTAATCCAATATGGGTATAATAAGGTTAGTTTGACATAGTCGACTATAATAATAATACGTGGAAGGTATAGCTACAGTCATGTTTGTCTTCTAGAACATCTCTCCTGGCTACAGACACAATTTTATCTTATTTCTCCACTCACATTCTCAGTCTGTTTATAGACATGTAAATCTAACAACTTCTCCCTCTAAACAATCTCCTAAATCCCAGACCTATGATCACTCTGTTATAAATGTTTTTTCAGTTCAATTCTCCTATTCATGTTTACATATCATGTACTAACACAATTAGGATGTTCACAAAACCTGCACAAGTTTATCAAGGTACATGTACATGTAGGTATTACATGTATGTATATAATGTGAATCTTTCATGTATATAAAGAGTATTACACACAGATTGTTTTGGGTTTTTTTAAATAGGAAATGAAATGAAATGAAATGGAGTTTAACGTCCTACTGTTCTGCTCCTAACCTGGGCTAATGAAGACGGGCATACGCCATACAGTGTGCTATGAGGGAAATTTTGCCCGGACAGCGGCACTACGGCCTACTCTTATATCGAATTCCAACTGCCAAGGGATCTTTTACGTGCACGCCAATGTGTACACGGGACCTCAGTTTTTCGTCCCATCCGAACGACTAGACAGCTTTCCTTGTCAGCCCCTCCGTCCTGCATCACTGACAAGGGAGAACCACGCCGGAAAATCGGGATGAACTTTCTCGGCCAATGCAGGGATCGAACACCCGACCTCCAGGCTAGCGAGCTAGCGTCTTACCCACTTAGCCACGTGATCCCCTTTTTAAATAGGACTAAGCCTACACATGTACATGTTGATATAATACATTATGTTCCTTGCACGCTGAATGAAGTGAAATGACAAGCGGCTTTAACGTCATACTGCTCTTCACCGACTGGGCTAATGAAGACGGGCATACACTATACAGTGTGCTACGAGGAAAATTTTGCTTTTACAGCAACGCTAGGATCCACATTTATTTCAAATTCCAATTGTCAAGGGTTCTTTTACATGTACGTGCATGCCAATGTGTACACACTCGTTTTTTGTCCCATTAAACGACCATACATTGTCCCTTGCCAGGTCCTCCATCCTGCACCACTGACAAGGAGGAAACCACGCCAGAAAATCCTGATTAACTTTCTGCCAATACCGGGATCAAACATGGGACCTCTAGGTTAGCGAGAGAATGTCTTACTCACTGTGCCGCGCGGCTCCATCACTGAGAGCTGGGGGGAGAAGAAATGTATTTGCTTTTGCAATCTTCTGTGTCACCAAATCATTTAGGACACAAGTTTATTAATACCACAAACCCACGCTCAAAGTGTGGAGACTCAAGCTTAACATTTTTCTTAATAAAGATCTATTTATAAAACCTCAGATTTTCATACAGTATGATAAGAATGACCAGATGCTGTTCCTTACACAACTGATGAAGGGAAAACCAACCTGGCTTAAACCTGGGACACTTAAATGAAAAATAAACTAATACTAACACCCAAGAGTGACCAACAAAACATCTATCTTGTTTACATACATGTACTTTTCATAAGATAGTAACCTATTACCTACTACATTGCATCACCTTGTTCTAACAGATGTTCCATTATGATGTGGCCTTTAAGACTGGGCAATGCCAATAAATAACTCTAGTATTGAATGTAGATAGAAACAATGTATAGAATGTGGTATATCAACCGGTGAATATCAGGTAATATACCATAGGTTAAAGGTTACTGGGTAGACCTACATGTATCATAAACCAAACACCAGTCAGGCATTGATGAATATTAAACCATGTCAACCATATCACTTGTATCTAAATTCTTATACAGTAACAACTTTTATCATAACTTTATATAACCAATTTAATATTGAATTAATAAAATTATTACACCATAAATAATTATAATAATAAAATAACACTTATTACACCACAGTTAATATAATTTTATATATAATTATGTTATAATAGTATACCCATCCTAATTTATAATCCTAATAATCCGTATTAAACAAAATCCTGGTGGAAACTCTGTAATATATTGTAACCATCGATCCTAATCTAATAATCTATTGTAATCTAATAATCCAAATTAATCACTATTAATAACTATATATATCCATAAATTATTCTAGACTCGTATTGAGATATAACCACCATGGGACACTTCACTGACATTACAGGAATATTGATCACCAAACAATACAGTCTAGCTCCAACTTCCTATAAAATGGTCAGCCAGAAAATATATTTAGGTCACAATCAAGAAGGTAATTAGTCTACAAGAGAGAGAGAGAGAGAAATGGGGTTTAAAGTCCACTCGACACAAAATAGGTCATTTTGGGACCAGCACATAGTTCAATTTTATTTCAATAATTCGCTTGTGCATAGAGGTCTTTAGCAGTGGAAGGAAACCGGAGGACCAGGAGAAAACCCATAAGGTTGGACAGGCGACCCTACTCCTTGTCAAGTACAACCGGGGAATAGAAACCATGCCAGTTGACTCAATAGTCTACAAGCTCTTAAAGACATTATGTACATTGTATAATAATAAAGGAAATGAATACAATTTATCATCTCGTCGACCCTTATGTCATTTTCAGACCAACACCCGGTTGTATTTTTATGGCCATGTGTATAAAGGTAGGGAGTAGAATTTTGCTCAGGCAGGAGGGTTTCTGCCTACTTTTAACAAAACAAAATTTTAACTGCTATTGGTACTTTTAAATTGCATGCTGAGCGCCCCGGTGGCTCAGTGAATAGGTGCTGGTTTTTCAGCATCATGTCCACTTGTCAGTGATGAGACAAAAGCCAAGGTCAAAGGTCGTTTGAATGGGTAAAAAAAATGAGATTGAGACCAGTGCACTGATCTTGATAATTTGGAGTTTTATTAAGAACTCTGAAACAATGTTCAATAAATAATTATCCATGACATACGGTATATCAAACAGGGCTGTTCAAAACATTTCAAACTACTGGTACTTTGAAACCTTGATTAAGAAATGTATATCAGCCTTATTTCTACAATACTGCATTCTGATTTAATGGCATTTTCATGACACATTATTTAAGAACTCTATATACATCAAATACAACAAAAAACATAGGTACATGCATAGAAACTTTAACCTATTCTATTAGTTCTTTCTGCATGTCTATTATTAAAAAACGATATAGAGAACCATATGGTGCTGCCATCTTAAAAACATATTCAATTCAAACAGAAGTTTGAGAATAAACAGACGGAATATCCAGCTGGCAGACAACTCATCAAACTAGCAGACACAGTTTTTACAGAAAGCAGATGTTTTAAGGGTGCTATTAAAAGTAACATCTAACTTATTGTTACTTTTTTTTTTTACAGTCCTCTTTCAAATCAAATTACCTACTATACAGGGAAATGCATATATCTTTGTAACAAGCTAATGTAATTTTTTATTGCAAAATAATTGATTAAAGTTTATAGCAAAAAATAGCTTACTTGAGAGGATTACAATTCCAGGGTAAGTAAATATATGTTAGAGAGAGAGAGAGAGATAGAGAGAGATAGATGGGGTTTAACGTCCACTTGACACAAACTAGGTCATTTCGGGACTAACATAGTTCAATTTTATTTCAATAATTCACTTGTACGTACATGTAGGGGTCTTTGGCAGTTGGAAGATACTCTAGAACCCAGAGGAAACCCACGAGGTTGGACAGACGACCCTACTCCTTGTCATGGACAACCGGAGAATCGAAACCACGCCAGTTGACTCAATGACAGACCTTATGATACAGGGCACACATGCTAACCATTCGGCCATCCACCCCCAGACCCCCACCCCTCTACTGTTAGAAATCATAATGCAAAATTTAATTTTTATTCCTGCCAGAAACCCACATCAACACTCTCATGTACATATGTATACACACAATTAATAAATCTAATTTCATGGATCACTGGGGTCAGTGGGCTAAGTCACTGGCTCGCTAGCCTGGAGGTCGGGTGTTCGATCCCTGTATTGGCCAAGAAAGTTCATCCAGATTTTTTGGCGTGGTTCCCCCTTGTCAGTGACGCAGGACGGAGGGCCTGACAAGGACAGCTGTCTATTTGTTCGGATAGGACGAAAAACCAAGGTACAAATTAGTGTGAACTGAAAGTAAAAGATCCCATGACAACTGAATTCGATATAAGAGTGGGCCATAATGCCGCTGTCCGGGCAAATTTCCCCTCATAGGACACTGTATGCCATATGCCCGTCTTCTTTAGTCCAGTTCGGATCAGAACAGTAGGACATTAAACCCCTTTGCATTTCATTTCCATGGATCCACACTGTACAACTACATATTGTTCAAAATAATTTTAAATACCAGTTGATTTTTCCCAAAGATTAGAAACGAACATTTGACATAAATTTTTTGGGACATTGCTGAAAATGACAAGATTGACAGGGACCTTCATAATTTAAGCTTAAGTACATACAATGTATATAGTAAGCAACATGTAAATGTCTAGTACTGGGTGTTTATCAGGTCTAAGGTCACTAATTTTATTACCTTACTCTACATTCTGTATATTACAATTAATCAAAAAAATGTCAATCTCAGGTACTTGTAGTAGGGAGAGAGAGAGAGACATAAATAGGGGTTTAACGTCAACTCAAAACAAACTAGTTCATTTCAGGACTAACATATGGTTTAATTTTTTTATTTCAATAATCTGCTTGTGTGTAGGGGTCTTTAGCAATGGGAGCAAACTGGAGGACCCAGAGAAAAACCATGAGGTTGGACAGGCGACCCTACTCCTTGTGCCATACAACCAGGGAATCATAACCACGCCAGTTGACTCAGTGACAAGACCTTATGACGCAGCATGCACATGCTAACCATTTGGCCATCCACCCCCCCCCCTCCCCTTGTAGTACAGTACAGCAAGTGTACAGTTACATCATTTGTATAGAAAATATAATTAGGTACATTGTAGCATACATGTACTGTACTCTATATTACATTTCAATTTCACCATCTACATGTAGTCATTTGGATGGGACAAAAACCAACGTCCCGTGTACACATTGGGGAGAGCGGTGGCCCAGAGAGTAAGGCACTAGCTCACTAACTAGGAGGTCTCTGGTTCGTTAACAGTGTTAGTTAAATAACTTCATTGGTATTTTTCAGCTTGGTTTCTCCTTGTCAGTGGTGTATGAACAGTGTCTAGTCCTTCGAATTGGACAAAAAACTGTGGTCAACTGAACATGTATATTATGTAGTTGTGCACTAAGTACCCGGAATTGGACAAAGAGTACCGTAGATAGAAACAGCACTTTCCAGGCAAAATTCCCCTCATACATGTAGCACACACTAAACCCCATTTCATATCAGGACAAACATATGGTACACCTTATTTTAACACTTCAAATTGTACTAGGCCTTAAGCAGTAGGAGAAAACCAAAGAGAAACAATGAAATTACATAGGCGAACCTACTCCGCGTCATATGTAATCCTGGATTCGAAACTAAAACAACCAAAAAGTGCACACATTAGACTCAACCATCCCTCCTTTTTTGCTCGACATAAACTAGATCATTTCAGGATTAACATATGGTTCAATTTTATTCCAATAATTCGGTATGCGCAGGGGTCTTTTAGCAGTGGGATGAAAAAGGAGGACCTGGAGAAAACCCAAGAGACTGGACAGATGACCCTACACAAGTACAAGTACAAGCTGGGAATCAAAAGCACACCACTTGACTCGCTGACAGACTTTATTCGGCCACCCAATTCCCTCTTTTCCTATAAAAGAGTGTGTATAACATACATGTAATGTACCTACATCAGACCATATTTACATGCATGTACATCACTATAATTTCTAAGTCCTTTTATAAGCTTACTACATAATTTGTGTAGCCCACGTTCATGCTGTACCGGTAATAATTTGATGGCCAATACTTTCCTGTACTCCAAGATCACCATCAGACAAAAATAAATCAATTATTGAGGTGACCTAAGTAGTCTGTGGAATCTATTTTGATCTATACATTGTATGCACTAGTGTTGGGTAACGCCACTGCAGTCACGATACGTATTGCGATTCAGGTGCTACGATATGATTCGTATCACGATTCATAACCAGGTCCAATATTTACCAAGAAAGCAACAGTATAAATGCATAATTAATATTTTTAGCCCTGTTGATGTCATAGAAATATTAATGTGGATTAAAATAAGGACCAATACAATATAAGAGCATCTGCTCTGAAATGAAATGGGGTTTAACGTCCTACTAGCATCTGCTCTGTATGGATAATGTGTGATGTGGATAATTAAGAGTGGCAGACTACTTACTGAAGCGACAACATAAAAAAAAAAAAGGTGAATCATAAGTCAATGATATATTGTGCTAGTACATATACCCATGTATGCTCATGCCAAATGTAGCAACTTCACCATACATTAATTATTCATATCCTAGAACTTCGTAATCTAACACCGTAGTGAGGTAACTGCTTTAGACATTTTTCACAAAAAATTTAACTTTATACATTTAGGTTTACAATGTTTTTAAAATTATGAGTCTTGAGTTTTCTACATGTATTATGAAGATATGACTCTGACTTTCCAATTTCATTATGCAGTGTTTAATTTAATATAAATGAACAAATGGTGGGTAAATTTATAAAGAAACAGGAAATCATTGCTAAACATACAGGATACATTTAGACCTACAATTTTTTCTAAAATTATGAGTGAGTTTTCTTCATGTACCGGTATTATGAAGATATGACCCTGACTTTCCATTATGCAGTCGTTAAATATAAATAAAAATGGCAGGTAAATTTGAAAAGAAACAGGAAATCATTGCTAAAAATACAAGATAAGATCAAGGAGCTTTAATGAATTAACAATCCATAATTTCCTTTCACAAATTTGATAAAATTGTAACATAGTGTTAAAACCATGCAAACTTGAGCCAATGACCACTGAGCAAGTTGATAAGGTACCAGTACAGCACTTAATACAAAGTTCTCCTAAACCTAATTTCAAGAGCTCTTCTGTTTTAAACTCTGTACAGGATATTTGCAGTCAAAAGTGCCTTGACAACAGGATAGGCATGTATAGAACATGTATATTGATTGCTACATGTAAATTAAAGAGGCAGTATGGGAGATGAGATAACGAGTTGGCAGTTCTCACTATAATAGTTAAAAACTAGATAATGTAAAGGCAACTTGCTGAAAATTTCAGTCAAATTGATCCACTATGAGCCGAGAACCAACCGGATGTAAGTTCCGCTTAGCCTTGATCATCAATACTGAAGTCGATAAGACAAAACTAATAGTCTTGATTATCCATTTAATCGTTAATCACGAAGGAAAGTTTTGCAGCAAATCGGACTGCAATCCAACAAATATCGCAGGCAATCCTTGACATCGAGAGCTGATTATGGTCTGGATAAGTTAATTAATGTCTAATTAATAGTTTTTATAACATTTCAGGCCTAAAGAAAGACCTGCAATAGGCCGATTTTGCTCTTGCATAATGTATGTTTAATACAAATTTCTCCCAAACCTAATTTCAAGAGCTCTTCTGTTTCAAACTCTGTACAGGATATTTGCAGTCAAAAGTGCCTTGACAACAGGATAGGCCTACATAGAACATGTATACTGATTGCTACATGTAGGCCTAAATTAAGCACATGGTAATGATCAAAATCTTTAACAACTATAAATATTTGGGGAATAATAAATGATCATATCTCTCATTTAATGAGTGTCGTGTAGTAGGCCTATGTGTTGCATGGATTTATATCTGTAGCTATGGATATATGGGTTAATAACAGTTTGATAATTACATTTACAACATTACACTGTATGTTGCCTATTATTATGATTTAGATACCGGTAAGTTTTCAATTTTTATAACATGGACTGCCATATAACACAGTTCTAGATAGTTATTAAGTACTAGAGTCAAGGCTTCAGAGGATAAGCTATATTTCTACATGCTAGTATTATCTAGCTCCTGCAGGCCTGGAATTAAGCTTTTATGTTTGTTGGGAGCCACAGTGACTTAGTAAGACATTGGCTCGCTATGCTGGAGGTCAGGTTCCGGCATGGCATGGTTTCCCGTGTTAGTGGTGCAGGATGGACACCCTGGCAAATGATAATGTCTAGTCTTTCAGATGGCTGTATGGCCGTTGGCGTATGCCCATCGGCATCTTCATTACTGACAAAAGCCCAGTCGAAACAGAACAGTAGGACTTTAACTTTAAACCAATTTCATTTAATTTTATTTCAAATTGAAATTCAATGCAGACACTCATGACTAAACAGCAGTGAAGACAGAATAGAGATAAAAGGGAGTAATAGCAGTGTGATTCATCCACAAAACATTCTTCACAATTTCTTATTTAAACAAAATGTCAAATTTAGTAACAATGAATTATGTCCTTTTTATATTTATTCAGTAAGGCTAGGCTGCTACACAGATCTTCAAAACATTGTCACATAACAATAACATTAGCCGTTGCATCGATTAAAGACGCAGTAATATATCATTGTTATTATAGACATAATGATGTGATGTTGTTTTGGCAAGGTACTGCATGAGATTCCATGCCAACGCAAACCCATTGACTGCTGCAGTGGAATGATAAAAATGATGGTCTTCGGTTCGACAGGAAATTCAGTCTGCGTCTGAACTAAAATTTAGACAACTAGTTTATACGCCATATCAAATTCTACGACTTTGAAAGAACAGAATATTTCATATGATAAAAATGTTCGTGTACTCACTTTAGAGTTTTGACTACATCACGTCTGCCTGAACTTGAAAATAAAGTATCTGTTTCATTAGCAAACCTGCCACAAATCAACAGTTATGGCCGATTATGACTAATTTGCGCATGCGTCATGTTTGTGTTTATTTTCGCACCGTGCGGTTAATGGTCTCAGTTCCTGCAAAATAAAATGAATAAAAACGTGACGCATACTGGAATTTGCGAAATCCTAATTAATTCATGTTTGATCAAATACACATTGTTACATTGTGGTTATTTACGGTCACTGTGCCTATTGTGCATTCCGGTGGAATAAAACATTTAAATGGTAGTTGCTTCCCTTTAACCGTAGAAGCTAGTTGGAATTTTAAGCGTAGATCGGAGTTCTATGTATTAGGCATACAAATTCCAAGATATTTATACGAAATATGACGCTTGGATTATACTAATTAATAGGCATTAGAAACCGAAATATTTGAAGTGAAAAGAAAAAATAAATAATTTGAATGCAAACTTGTTTTTTTCTTGTCGCAGCTGTCATAAAAAAAATTGATTTTTATTTATCTTTCTTGGTGCTTGAAAAGTCAGGTGTCACGTTTGAAAAAATATCTTGGATAAACTATTACATTTGTTTTTGGTGGATTTAAAGTACGACTCAAAAGGGGCTCGGGGCGTATTACGGTTATTTAAAAAATTAAAATGTAACTATCATTTTAAGAAATGTTTTCGCATCGTTCCGCTCGTCTGATCGTTTATTCATATTGTCAAGCTTCTAATTGTGCTTTTGTATGTAATGTATACCAGGCCTACCTTTGCTCGCCTTGTTGGGACAAAAGTTATATGCAATTAACTTACTACAATATATTATATAAAAAGTTATAAGATCTCAAAAGGCACAATCAACATTTTTTTTTTATATTTAAACACGTAAAAAGTATATTTGTATATACCAAGCTTCGATTAAAGAGCCAAGTATGACTAAAAAACAAGACTAGAGATGGGGGACCCGTCATTTGGAAAATTAAAAATATGTAAATTGCTTCAAATCTCTGCAAATCATTTGAGGAATTTATAATCCCTTTGATGCTGGATATCCACTGCAGATGTTATTTAGAATATCATAAGCATAATTCAATGTCACCTACGATTTTACCACTGGCTCCGCAACCAGGGAATCCGGGGTTGTTTCCCCCCCCCCCCCTCGCCGCTTCTTCGTTGTGAATGACGAATGTCCTGCAGGGAACTGCGTATGAGAAGCATTGACAGTTGGAATTCTACGAAGAATAGGTAGAAACGCCGCTGTCCAGACAAAATGTCCCTTATACGCTGTTTGCCGTATGTTGCCTAGTCGTTCGGGTGGGACGAAAAACCGGGGTTCCGTGAACACATTGGAGTGCACGTTAAAGATCCCTTGGCTGTTGGAATTCGATATAAGTGTAGGCCGTAGCGCCGCAGTCGGGGCAAAATATGCCTTATAGCACATGGCGTATGACCGTCGTCATTAGCCTGGTTGGACTAGAACAGTAACCTTCATTTCATTCCGTTTGAAGTTAAATTTAATTTGGTCAGGATATCTTTTTTAATGTGTGTGTAATTCAAAGTCAATCAGTGCCTATTACACTGTACTGAGAAAACACCCAATAAAGCGTCCATTGCACTTTTAGGTTTCTCCATTTAACTGTTCTGTTGTTTTATCGATTCAATAAAACGTTTAATTTCGGCTCAGAAAATTATTTTATTTTAAACAATTATGTGCTAATAAAGGAGCCAAACCTCTAACTCAACATTATCCATAATATTCGAAGTTAAAAATACGACTTGTAATTAAATATTGGTCCATTTCAATCAATACTGATGTAGGCATCCTAATAACCAATATTCTTTATTCTATGGACATAATAGGTTTCGCGCACTATTTGTAATGAACAGAGAAAAACATATCCCAGAAGACAATAGGGATGTAATTAAATATGGCTGATTCACAAACGACAAAATAATAATAACATGTTTATAAACTTAATTACACTAATGTCTTCGTGTTGATAGTGAGAATGCCCCTTTAAAACGTTTACTGTAACCATCCACGGATTGGTAATTTTCGTTAGATTATATTTCAATAATATGGTAATTGTAAATATAGCTTTATGCTACTGGGAATCGAGGCAAACACACCCAATGAGACAGCATCTTTTCTTGTGATGTTACACGCGTTGTTCGTATCCAGAGAGAGAGAGAGAGAGTTTAACGTCCACTCGTCACAAACTAGGTCATTTCGGGACTAACACATGGTTCATTTTTATTTCAATAATTCGCTTGCTCGTAGGGGTCTTTAGCAGTGGGAGGAAACCGGAGGCCCCCGGGGAAAACCCACGAGGTTGGACAGGCGACCCTACTTATTGTCACGTACAGCCAGGGAATTGATTAGGGATTACAATAAACATTTAAATAATTAAATATAAATCACTTTATACACTCTCAAATTACATTAATATATGCTTTTAATATGTCTGAGAGGTCTGTCCAGGGAACCATTCACTTCTATTGGCCTATTGGGGTTTTCTCATGGTGGATAATAGTTACAGACCTCCCACATTTTTGATGGACCGGGATCGAACACCGTAGCTCCACCCAACATCTTACTCACAAAGACACCGTGGCTATTATTACAACTAAACACGGTGCGCGGAAAAAAAGTCACAGTAAAAAAGTCACAAATTTGCCTAGGTAAAAAAAACACAGGAAAAAAAGTCACAGTTTTTTATTACATCTCAAATTCAATAATAATATAAACAATAACTTACATATTTAACCTTTCATTACACAGATGTAACCAGACTGTTTTAGTCTTTAGAAATCAGCACATTTTGATATCATAGCACATTTGATGTATTAGCACATACGGCATATCAGCACATCTGACATTTTAATACATTATAGCACATTTGACATATCAGTACATCAGACATTTTAGCACATTCTAGCTCATTCAACATTCTAGCACATCAATAATCTTTGTTAATACTAATGTTCCATCCAACTCCATGTAAGAATTCTGGGATGGATTTGGTACCGCTGACGCGATCTCTGCAAAGATTTCGTAGTTGTGTCTGCATATTTACAAACTCTACAATACAATATATATAAGTTGTGACTTTTTTACCTGTGTTTTTTTACTGTGTTTTTTTTACTGTGACTTTTTTACCTGTGACTTTTTTTCCTAGATTCCTAAACACAGTTGAGATAAATAGTATAAAACATATAACTAGTATCACCAAACGTTTTCATTCGTAACGTTAGTGTTTTATAATAATCACTTTGGACCTATGAAAACGGTAGTTAAAAAAATCATATCACAAAAACAGACGAAGATAGCTATAATTTCCGGACCAATAAATATTTAACGCCTATAAATAAAACACTCTATTACAGGAGATGGCTCAGGTATATTTAGTTTCGTCAACCTTTCCTGCATCAACTGGGGGAAATTTGACCTAACGGCGCTGTGCAACCATCTCTTATTTCGAATAACAAATGTCAAGGGTTCTTGTACGTGCACACGAACATGTACACAGTAGATCTTTTTTTTTGTCCCAGCCAAACGACAAGACACCGACCTTGCCAGGCTTTCTGTACTGCACCATTGACAAGTTGAAACGACGTCGTAAAATTGTGAGGCACTTGCTCAGCCAAACCATGGACCTCCTCCTGGTAGAGAGCCAACGCCTTACTCACTGAGCTGCCGTGGTTCAGCTCTGAACGTAGGTCTCATTACACTCGCCCTGTACATTCAGGAACTGTGGTATTGAATCCTTGGCGAAAAAGTTTGACTTCCCAGTCAATTTTACTGGGCAACTTTTTACTGCTAAACGGTCGCGTGTCAGTCCCTGTGAACGCATGAAAAATAAAAATGAACATCTTAGTGAGAAAATAAGACCTTGCTTACCTCGCTACACAACAACACGCTGTTAAAAAATACGTCTCCGTCTTCTAACCGATTTGGCGGACTTAATTGAAAGGGTAACGCACACATTTACGAACTCGGCCATATACGATGAAACGAAAAGTGAAATTGACTGGGAAGTCATTAGATTTTCGACAAGGATTTAATAGGACAGTTCCTGAACGTACAGGGCGAGTGTAATGAGACCTACGTTCAGAGCTGAACTAGAGCTACCGTGGCTCCGAAACTATAGATTCACATAGTCATACAGTTGAGACATGTTCTTTCGAGAACATCTGATGCTGCTTTTCCTTTATCTGGTGAGTTTACTTATGCCCCCGTCAGACCGGGGTTGTGTCCTTTTCGAACGTACAACGACCAGAAAATGCACAAGGTCGCCGGCAAATGTGAACACAACGAGAGAAAATGTTCCCAAAAATTACAAACTGAAAAAAAAGCCGCATTCTTTAATTTTCCAGGTCAGATCGCAGCACGATATCTGGCATTTCCACCACTCTTTTACCACGCTTATGGTGATCTTGACGAGCTCTGAGACTATTTTCCGTTGCCGTAGCAGCGCAGTGAGGACGTCACCCAGGTCTGGCGGGGGTATTTGTAACCAGGGGCGCAGGAACCCGGGTACCAGGGTATACAAATGGCACCCTTTTTTCTAGACTATTAATTTTTAAATGATAGATATGTAATTGCTCTCTGGTCGGTCGCGAACCGGCTCCCGCACTCTCATTATCAGCTATCAGTGCATGTCTTGGCCAGATGTCTATAAGTGGTTAATCGAGTTCATGAGATGATAAAGGCAAGCGATTTAGTGGTAGTAGTTTCTGTTTATAGTTATTAGCCTTTTCAATTACACAATTTTTTTATGAGATGAATTGCTCATGATACGAAAATTGTGAATAATCAGACTTTTGTCTCTTTCATTATCATGTATTTTAAAGGGTTTTATGTTGGAATTTGGAATGCTAGAGGCGCTCTAAACAGCGTTCTCGGAATTGACAAATTTCAAAATTTTCTAGAGGCCGATGGGAGAGAACCCTATCTTTTTGTACCCTGGCCCTCGCGCTGTTCCGGACCCCCTGTTAGTAACAGTTGTGTACATTGGCTGAGTGAATGAAATTATGAAATATGATTACCATTGGGTTAGCATGGCCTGTCGTGTAG